CGCCAATTACTAATATATCGCCTATCTTTTCCTTCTTTTGGTATACAAGTTATGACACTTTGATATTGAAAATCTGAAAAAAGACCAGACTCATATCCATAGAATAATGATCGATAAACAAATGGTCCAAGATCTCTCCAAAAGAATTTGAAAAAATCGACAGTAAATCCATCGCTTCCTGGGGATTTTCCATTTTTCATCTTACTCAATGCTATAGCACATTCCTCATATGTCAAGTTACCCTCACACAGGTCATGTTGTTCCTGTGTAAGGGCAACATCGTGAGAAAAAAAACTTTCACTTGAACAATCAATTTTTCTCTTTGAATACAAATTTTTATAAAAATTATGTTATTCTGAGAGAATCGTGGATTGGTCAGATATATGATAACCCTGATCACCAATCATTTCAACCATTGTCTTCTTTATAAAATTTCTCTTTTCTAATTTTAAAAAATATTGGGAACATTTTTCACCATTTTCATGCCAGTTTGCCCGGGACCGTAATAGTAAACCCACTATCTTCTGCTCTCTCATGGATTCTAACTCCACTTTTTTATCATTTAAAGTGGTCTGTACAGCTTCAGTAGGGGCTGTATTCATAATAATATCTAAATTTTGTATGTCTTCTTCAAGTTTCAGAGTGGCTTTTTTTTCTTCTTTTGATTTAGATATACTGTGTGTAATGGACAAAGATCGGATTTTCATCTTCAGTACTTCAAGAAAAAATTGATCGTTACAAGTAAATTGTACATGGAATAGGTCATCTATACTGTCTGAAAGATAGAACTCAGAAACAGTATCCTTATTACACATCTTTACCTTTTCAACATATTCAGTATCTCTCAACAACTGTGAATTAAACTTCCAATATCCCTTACCCCTTTTATCAAGACTGGCAGAAAATGTGAAAACAATGGCTGAGTGATCGGTTTTGTATCCAGGTGTAATTTTTGTATTTTTCATAAGTGAAAATAAGTCTTCACTCACTAAAAAATAATCTAGTCGACTCTGCTTGATAGGAGAGGTTTGACGCCATGTAATTTTTTTGTCATCTGGATGACAGGTTCTCCATGGATCCAAAAGTTCAAAAGTATGTGAAATTTCTTCAATCTTATTACGAGAGTTCAAATTTCTATTGTGCAGAATATTATAAGTATCCATTTGAAAATCTTGTACAACATTCCAGTCTCCACACATTAAGATACTAGTATTAGTATAGCAAGAGATGTTGCGTAAAATATCACTAAACAATGATGGTTCATCAGTATTAAATCCATAAACAGTGACAAAGGTTAACCTTTGTTCATATAATGATAAGTCTAAAACAATAAAACGACCTTTCTGGTCTATCTTAGAATCATGAATCTTAAAATCAAGACCCTTGTTAAACATCACACTAACACCAGCACTTTTATTATTGCAGTGACTGAAAATGCATGTATTACCCCATTCATCTTGCCAAAGTTTCTCAATATCCTCATTACTGTGAGTCTCTTGAAAACAAACAATTGATGCATGTTTACCTCTTACCCAATCAAAAATATCTAATCTTTTTTTCTTGCTTGAAAATATGCCCCTTACATTCATAGATAAGACTGTAACATTATTATCAATACTCATTAGGTAATATGTTCAATCAGACAATAGAAAAGCAAAGCAGTTGTACAATGCTGAAAATAAAAATGCATACCCATACTAACAGCACATTTATACATTTTGTATCAAGTTAGTCTCAATATGTTTTGTACGATTATCAACATGATGCATGAGTTGTTGGAAGGAATAAGCCAAAGAGTTTGTCAGTCTTATATCGTTTACACCAAAATTCGCAGAAAGAGGAAAGAATTTTTTGACTTCACATCATGTATGTAGAATGTGTGAAATATTTCGATCCCTTCTTTAACAAAATCATAACATCAAGGTCTTGGACAATGCACAAGTATTCTGTTAACGCCTTATCAAAGTTTTGAAATCTTATCCTTGAATTATCGCAACCCCAAAGGAAATGGAGTATTGCTTTCTATACAAATGTCGGCTAAGCAATTCAAAAGGAACCAAGGTATGGTTGTCAAATATTGTACCAACATTACTTTTTGTTTTATCTGGATATGACTGTGGCAACAACTAGTTCTAACAATTCAAACTTCTTCATTAAGGTGGAAGGAATTCTGATGGAATCGTAGTTTGAAACAAAAAAGCTGCCCTGAACAAATAATGGAACTCAGGTTAAAAATTTATGAATGCCTTTAGTTGGTTTTTTTTTCTGTTTTAAGGTTCACAGAAGATTAAGTATGTCTCCGTTAATAATGATTTGTACGCATAAATTTTGATATTTGAAAGCGATTTCTTTTAAAGATTTGGTGAGCTAAAAACAGGCCCAGGAAGATGTGGTATGAGTGCCAATGAGACAACTATCCATCCAAGTCAAAATATGTAAAAGGTAAACAATTACAGGTCAAACTACGGCCTTCAACTCGGAGCCTTAGCTCACACCGAACCACAAGCTATAAAGAGCCCCCAAAAGACTAGTGTAAAACAATGCAAGTAGGAAAACCAACGGCCAACGGTTGACCATGTTTTCTGGGACCAAACCTGCCCCTCACCTTGGACAGTGGTGTTATAGTACATCACCAGAACAAACTACACAAATTAGTTGAAAAAGGCTTTACTCATCAGATCGATACATAGCACCAAAATAACTAGATAAAACACAAAGACACAAAGAAGTGCAGATCTGAGAATACTCGCAGTTAGTGACACCTAGTACAAAACCAATAACAATTTATTAAAAAATAATGTATCTAAGACTAAAATATCAACATCGAATAGCGAGACGACTGTCAATTTCAAAATGGTTAATTGTTAAAATTTACTTTAATTATTCTTCAGGTAAACCATTCAAGAAATGTATAGATAATGGCAAACAATCGAGAAACGTTTGCAAACTATTCCACTGTCAATCCCAAGTATGTATGGAATAATACATTTTACAGTTTCATTATCAATAATTATTTAATAAAGGTACAAATAGCATACTTAAACGTGTTCGTCATGATATCAAAGCTAAGATACAAATACTAATTAGCTAAAGTTGTCATTTCACTAATGCAAAAATACATAAATTACAATTCCTCCATTAATACAAAATGAAATGAGTTGATGGTCTTTCTTCTATAATCATACAAACTGTAATAATCTATTGTGAGTAGTTGTTCTTCTTTGATGTCTTCGAGAAGCCTAATATTAACATAAAAGCTGATTTGCAAGACAATTTAACGAATGTTTTTTTGCGAATTCCATGTTATTTTTATACAAATGTTCATCTATTTTGAAATAATTCATTCAGTAATATTTCAGAATAAAAAGAGATAAATGCATTTTTTTTTTTTATTTTCACTTATAATAAAACGAGCCAAAGTTGTGTGCAAATATAAAAAAGAAGATGTGGTATGATTGGCAATGAGACAACTCTACACAAGAGACCAAATGACACAGAAATTAACAACTATAGGTCACCGTATGGCCTACATCAATGATCAAAGCCAATACCGTACTGACATCTATGAAAGGCCCCGAAATGACAATGTAAAACAATTCAAACGAGAAAACTAACGGCCTAGTTTATGTACAAAAAATGAACGAAAAACAAATATGTAACACATAAACAAACGACAACCACTGAATTACAGGCTCCTGACTTGGGACAGGCACATACATACAGAATGTGGCGGGGTAAAAAATGTGAGCGGGATCCCAACCCTCCCCTAATCCTGGGTCAGTAGTGCAACAAAACACAACGACAACTGTACAAAACAATAAACAGATTACGCATATTGTCAACAGCAACAACTACAAATTACAGGCTACTGACTTGGGACAGGCACATATAGAATGTGGCGGGGATCCCAACCCTCCCCCTAACCTGGGACAGTGGTGTAACAGTACAACATTAGAATGAACTATAAAAATCAGTTGAAAGAGGCTTAACTCATCAGATGGATAAAAATACAAATACTACAAGTACAAGTGGACGTGGCCGGGTACTTGTATACCCAAACAACAAAAAGACACTAAGTACAGATCTGAGAGTACTCGCAGTTACTGACAGCTAGTTCAAAGCCACTAACAACTAATTAACATAATCATGCATCTAAGATTAAATTATCAATCCATACACACCCAACATCCAATGGATTTAGTGTAAGGACGTCATAAACAGTCAGAGAAAATCATGACCTTGTGCAATGCCAAGATACAGGTATTGACAGATTGCAGATCCAAGAATGTGTATATGTATATAACAACAATATTTAGTTTGCTTTTAATTTACTGATAACAAAATCGATGTTACTACCAATAAAACAATATTTAATGATCTAATTACAGTGTTGAAAAAGAATAGGTTTATTTAGACCTTTTGTTTTTAAATTTGTGGCATATATAGATATAAGAAGATTTGGTATGAGTGCCAATGAGACAACTCTCCATTCAAGTCAAAATTTATAAAAGTAAACCATTATAGGTTTTCAACACGGAGCTTTGGCTCACACCGAACAGCAAGCTTAATAGCCCATTAACCTTATCTTGACCTTAACGAATAAATAACACAGAATCCTTATTATGTTATTCTTGAGAATGGAGCGGAATTGTGTTTCATATGTTTGTAAATACATACAATGCAACTATCATTTTTTATAAATGTAATAAAACCATTTCTTTCTTTTCCTTCAGTTTAACATATTTGAAACTTTTCACTACGTCGGTTTTGTAAAGAAAAAGATCCACAATGATAAAATGAATACACATTTTTGTAAAATGAAATCAATGAACGGGAACTTTTGAATTGCATATTTAAAAAACACTTGTGCGTGCAAACAGATGTTTAAAGACTTTGTTAACAAGTACAAGGTCTTTAATTATGTCTGAATGACATTGATTTGTTGATAGGGCAAATTAACTGTAATTTTAAGTCTAATTCTATTTTAAAGGACTATTCAACAGATACATAGTTCGTTTTTTTTTATTTGAAAAAACATGTAGGATTGTATTTGATTTGAAATTAATCATTGACAATATTTAATTAATTTGTTTATTCTTTCATCAAATATCTGTGTTTGGGACATTAGACAATTATATTAGGATGATCTGTTAAAAGTGAGTACCCATTTTTATCGCAAAATAATATTGTATGCGTAGGTAACATTGTTGTTGTTGTTGTTGTTGTTGTTGAAAGGGGGGCGGTTATTGTCTGCAACTGTTTTATTGAACTACTAGAATTGAAACAAAGTTATTAAGGACATGAAAAGTATTAAACTAAAGTTAAAAGCATGTGTACCGATACGTAAAGCTATTATTTCGCCTATATCAGACATGTCTCGCTTTATTTGCTTTTTTAAGTCATTGACATGCTAAAATATGAAAATGTCTTACAGCATTTAAACATGGGCGGTGATAATTCAAACAACGTTGTTCATTATTCCGATGACATTACGATTTTACATAGCTACTGACTCTGTCACCAATACTGCCGCTTTTAATCAAATGTTTGAGGTGACTTCGTTAAATCTGTTAAGGATGTTGTTTCTGTGTTCTGTTTTCCTGCCCGTCACTATCCAACAAAAAGTTGTTAACATCTAATGTAGCTTCGCGTAGTATCACATACAAAAATAAAAAGAAATTTTAAATCCCCCCAAAACCACATGGCCATATATAACTTTTTCACAAGTTTATTGTTTTCTGGTTGGTATTATATCAATAGTTAAGATCCGTTTTGTTACATCTGGTGATCAGTTTATTTGGTAATTGTCAATGGCAGTCAGCAGGATTTTAGAACAACAGTTGTTCGACCTGCTAGTCAAATGCGTTTTGTTAAAATATACTTTTTCACTTTTTTGGTCTTTTGGAAAATGTTGTTTGTGTTGTATTTTGACCCCTGTACCAAGAAATTTGTTTTGCATGCACACGTATAGAAATGCGGTTTTTATTCAACGCAATCATAGGTTTGAACGTTGTTTTCAATTTAGACATGTTTATATTTTTTCGTTTAGGCTTGCATTTTATTTGCCTTCGGGTTTATATGATCCGTTCATCCTATTTAGACACTTCAAAGTTCAAGAGTTTATTCTAAAATGAGGTAAATTATTTGGCCTTCCAAATACCGTTTCGATTCCTAACATCACTGAAGAGACATTAATTGCCGAAATCCGGATATGGTGTACTAATTTTTGCACCTTTTGTTTGCGGTATACAATCTTTTCCGCAAGTTTATTGTTTTCTGTTTGGTATTAAATTAATAGTTAAGATCCATTTTGTTACATATGGTGACCCTTTTTTTTTTGGCAATCGCCAATGGCAGTCAGCAGGGTTTAAGAACATCAGTTGGTCGACCTGCTAGTGAAATGCGTTTTGTTAAAATATACTTTATCACTTTTTTGTTTTTTTGGAAAATGTTGTTTGTGCTGTATTTAGACCCGTCTACCAAGAAATTTGTTTTGCATGCACACGTATAGAAATTGCGGTTTCTATCCAACGCAATCATAGGTTTGAACATTGTTTTTTTAATTTAGACATGTTTATATTTTTTCGTTTGGGCTTGCATTTTATTTGCCTTCGGGTTTATATGATCCGTTCATCCTATTTGGACGCTTCAAAATTTAAGAGTCTATTCTAAATTGAGGTAAATTATATGGCCTTTCAAATACCGTTTCGATTCCTAACATCACTGAAGAGACATTAATTGCCGAAATCCGGATATGGTGTACCAATTTTTGCACCTTTTGTTTGCGGTATACCATCTTTTCAGCAAGTTTATTGTTTTCTGTTTGGTATTAAATTAATAGTTAAAATCCATTTTGTTACATCTGGTGATCCTTTGTTTTTTTAGGCAATCGCCAATGGCAGTCAGCAGGGTTTAAGAACATCAGTTGGTCGACCTGCTAGTCAAATGCGTTTTGTTAAAATAAACTTTTTCACTTCTTTGTTTTTTTGGAATGTTGTTTGTGCTGTATTTAGATCCCTCTACTAAAGAATTTGTTTTGCATGCACACGTATAGAAATTGCAGTTTTTATCCAACGCAATCATAGGTTTGAACGTTGTTTTCAATTTAGACTTGTTTATATTTTTCGTTTGGGCTTGCATTATATATGATTTCGGGTTTTTATGATCTGTTCATCCTATTTCGACACTTCAAAATTCAAGAGTGTATCCTAAATTGAGGTAAATTATATGGCTTTCCAAATACCGTTTCGATTCCTAACATCACTGAAGAGACGTTAATTGTCGAAATCCGGATATGGTGTACTAATTTTTGCACCTTTTGTTTGTGGTATACCATCTTTTCCGCAAGTGTATTGTTTTCTGTTTGGTATTTAGTAAATAATTTTAAAAGATCCATTTTGTACCTTCTTGTGATCCGTTTATTTGGCAATCGCCAATGGCAGTCATCAGGGTTTAAGAACATCTGTTGTTCGACCTGTTAGTCAAATGCGTTTTGTTAAAATATACTTTTTAACTTTTTTGGTCTTTTGGAAAATGTTTTTTGTGCTGTATTTGGACCCCTCTATCAAGAAATTTGTTTTGCATGCACACGTAAAAAAATTGCGGTTTTTATCCAACGCAATCATAGGCAAGTTAAACAATGAGCAAATGCTAAATGCTATAAAAGGTTCCTGAATGCACAAGAAAAAATAGCTAAACTGTGTGTATTTGAGGAGTAATTTGATTCAATTGATAAGGTTTATTGTGTAATTTAGGAAGCCAATACATACCGGGAAGACGGTGTTATTCAGGCAACACTTTGAATCGTTTTTAGATTGTGTTTATCTACAGTCTCATTTGCAGTAACATGAGAGTACGCATTGCTAACTACTTTATCAGCAGGTTAAATCAGAATATATTGATATTCATATATCAATTTAATATTATTTGCAATTTCAGTGGCAAAATAATGGCTTTTACCTCCTAATACAATTATCGTTCTACTGCTATTCTCCGACACAATATATTAACCATAGTTTGATTTTATTACATGCTTTAACTTTAAAAAATATGAGTACCTTGTGTTTCTGTATGCACATTACGTAGGCATTAAAATATTTCAAATTGTCAAATCTGATTAATTTAACTTGTCGCAATATTCATTTCTGATGACAACATAACAATTTTTGAAATGATAACCACAGTTTGACTTGTAAAATTAAAATTGATCCTCTATTTCTACATTAACGCAAAAAATGATTGGTCAATTTGTTAATATGCAAACTAAGTGAACGAAGTGAAGATGACGTTTTTTTCACAATATTCATCGAACAATTGGGGCATGTATATATGTATATATATTCATGTGTGTTTATGGTTGCAATACGATTAAATGACGTGTATAACTTACTGCTTTCAATCAATTTTCTGATATACTTTAACAGTTATTAAATTTTCACCATGACAGTTTTTAAAGAGGTAAACATAAAGTCATTAACTTACAATTTATATTACACAAATGAATCTGAATATAAACGAATTATTTCGAACTGTACAAAACATTTAAAAAACTTCCACCGTACATTAACCATTTTAAAAAGATTGTGTCAACGAGAACAAAGACATACATTTTCTTCAATGGTCTTATTTCATTTAAATGAACATCACAATATCATGACTACAGTTATTAAAGATTGAATTCAATCGATATTCCTGACTTCACAATATTTTGTTCATTGGTTTTTCTTAACACAAAACAGACTGGTAAAAATATTATCATTTTTCTTCCAACGATATATAATTGAGTTAAAACGCGGGTTGATTTTCATACGATATAAATGTTTGTCACTTTAGAATTATAATTTGCTAAATTATGAGGAGTCAGATAGTATGTCTAAGTACATATATTTTAATTTAAATCTTCTTTTATTTTAGATTTGTGCTCGTGACTTTCGACATTTAATTTAGGATGATTTATTAAAAAGTTAGTATTTTTCGTATCTCAAAATGAAAAATATATGTGTGGACAACATAATGTTACTCAATATATTATCAACGATTCTTTGTTTTTTAAAGGCAGACAACATTGGTTTTAGATACCACTACTCACCATACTATCCCTAATCCAAACCCCAACCCCCATCCACCCCCTCGTTTTATCTTATATTTTATTCTCATATATTACGCTTTTAGGAATTAGAGTTATAATACATAAGAACATTGCAGATATTGTCCTCAATGCGGTTCAATAGTTTGTAGAGCATAGGTAGAAAAAAGGTGCAATTACCCGTACAAACGAATATAAAATAAGAATGAACAAGGATGATCAAACAAATCAAAACGAAGGAATACGGATTGAAAAGGGAGCACGTTATTCCTAAATATAATTTAACACAAACAATAGATAACATTTCTTACATCAGAAAATAAATTTTAGATTTAATTTTCCAAATTTCTAATCGAATATTTGAAATAAATTGGTAGCCTAAACGACAGTCTGATTAAAACCAAACCCCTCACTTGCTATCGTTTATTGATATGTCCCAATCGTCATATCAGAAAACGGGAGCGCTTAGAGGTTTGATTTTAATCGATTGCCCAAACACAACCGTCGATATAATGATTGATAATCTCTTTGTTTATTTGTTTTTTATTTGATTTCCACTCAATTTAAAAACTAATTCAATTGAGTATGCAAGTTCTATCAATATTCTGTAAAAAAGTTCAGGAAAATCAGGTTTGATATTATGTAATGCAGTTAAATCGCTTTAGGCAATATGCATTCCCGCCTTTAAATGTCGATAAGAATAATAACAATTAGTGCATACCCGGCGCAGTGCAAATCAGTACATGAAAGAAGCTTAACTTTATATTAATTCAAAAAAAATACTAGCATACGAGTATACAAGGAAACAAATAATAAGCAAAACCAGTGAATACGCTAAGGGTTTTTCACCAGGTGCAACCTAAATAGGTATCGCTTCCCTTTATAAGGGGAAAAAAATATTTTAAAATTTTGTGTTACCATGTACTGACAAATTCCCGACTGCTACGCTTTCTTGTCACGAGATTATTTATACATGTCTGAATACAAACACATATTTCTTATAAGGACAAATTTTGAAATGTAAAAACTAATCACCGAATTAAGCTTTGCCTTTAAAATCGACAACTGATTTGTATACTTAGTTCTTATGTTGTACTGTTACACGACTGTCCCAGGTTAGGAGAGGGTTGTCGCCTTCAAACGAGTTTAACCCCGCCACTTTATTTATGTGCCTGTCCCAAGTCAAGAGCCTGTAATTTAGTGGTTGTGGTTTGTTGCGTGTAACATATTTGTTTTTTATTCATTATTTTGTTCATAAATTAGGCTGTTAGTGTTATTGTTTGAATTGTTTTACATTTGTCTTGTCGGGACGGGGGCTTTTATCGCTGACTATGCGGTATGGGCTTTGCTCAGTGTAAGACCCTACTGTGACCGATAGCTGTTAATTTATTTTTTGTCATTTGGTATTTAGTAGAGAGTTGTCTCGTATTTACCACAGATAGTAAAAAACATGTACACACGGTAACTGGCACAAATTTAGATAAATTGATTAGGGAAACTGTCGGGAAAACATAGGAATTATTTATCTTTTTTTTTCTTTTGTGCATTCCCGTTTAAAAGTTTGATCGTTAAACCGATGTTTGACTGATGATTCCCCCAGGGTACTCTCGTCTAGCAGAGCTTTTGACCAAGTGATAGTAATAACATTAACGATATGAGTTTGACTGTACAAAATGCGCATTTCTACACTTAATGTCTCTTCAATTGTGTTCTAATGCTCCAATGCTTATCAAATAAGGAAGAGCTTATAAACCAAAAATGATAAAAGGTATAGTCATAGAATGGCAAGAAATCAGAGCTATGCATGAGGAGGTATATTAGAATTATTTACACAATATCCGTATTTTTAGGTTAGTACCGAAGTACTGGCTACAGGGCTGGTGATACGCTCGAAGACTAACAGTCCACCATAAGAGGTACTCACTCAATCGTAGTAATAAAATTATCTGTGCCAATTCTAACTGCTCAATACCGTTATCAGGCAAACTTGCATAAAAGTAAATTCATACCGACCAACAGTTTAAATATGTGAATCAAAAGATAACATACGTGATGCTTTTAAATGTTGATGAATTGAATGGTATTTTCAGAATATCTGTAATTGAAATTGAAGTATGACATCAGTGGCTGCCCGTTCTACCTTCTATGGAGCAGAAACGCCTCCCTCAGGACGAATTTGGGAAAACGGAAGTATGAACGAATATCGAGAGGATGTCACAAAGAAACGAGAGGTAAATTTTTAGAATGAAATTTTGCATCCTATTTGAAACTTATGAACGAATAGAGAGTAACTAAACATATATTACATCCATTTCAAATGAACTTTGGTGAAAAGTTTTCTCATTGGCGATCATACCACAACTCCTTATTTTTATATAAGTGTAGCATTACTTTGTGGAAATGGTGTGATATTTTGATATTTTACAGGTGAAGTTAAAAATCTGTATTTACAATCAGTAAAGCCTTCGAATACGTAGAATTAAACGAAATTTGTATCTGTATATTGCATAAAACAGATTGAACGTATCCTTGCATATATGAAAATAATATTTGACGCAGTCTAGATCTGCAACCAAAATGGCAATATCTTCGTTAAAGTAATATCCGAGAAATGTGTATGTATATCCTTCACCAAATGTGTTTTATTTATGAATTAAAAATAACAATTATCATTTTAATGATACAGTTTTGGTCGTTTTCTATTTCAGTGAGTATTAAAACAACCATTATAAGTGAGTTAAATTATAATGTTATTAGGGAGTCCAAGAGAATGACAGCGATAATGATCACTGATCTTTGGCTCTATTTACACATCATAGTGTTCAGTCAATAGCACTGTTGGTGCGAACGTCTATATGACATCATTTGTTTTAGCTACCACATTTTTATTTTATGAAGTTATTCATTAATGATTTTTTTTCTAATATTAAATACTTTTTAAAGTGATTTGTACTATACCTTGTTTTATCCACTTCATGATACTATTGGTAGAAATAGCAAGATCTCTACTCTACAAACACTACACCGTGATCCTAACTCTTCCGGATCAAAAAAATCGCCAGCGCTTATCTTCCATAAAATATGAATGTTTTTGTCATTTACAGAATTTTTGTTGACTGTATTTGTTAGGTCAATGGTAGTATGACTTTTGACGTCACTCGGTATTTGTGCATCTAGCAATAGGATTGTTGTCTTTTAACGTTCCTGTTGCATGCCGGACCAGAGATGCGGGTATGACGTACGAGTTGTTTGCACTGTTTGCTTCATTTTATTTTTCCTTGTTTTTATATTTAACTTAGTTTGGACTTTATGAAGTACGGCATTATATTTTTATAAACTATATTCACAACCCACTACAAAAACTGTTTTTACTGGTCTCTTTGTTAGATTTACTATCAACTACAATAATGTCTTTTGCTGGCGTCTCAGTCAGATTTGTTTGTATGTTTGTTTGAATTTTTTAGTCAGTTGTGTTGTGTGTCTGTGATGTTTGTTTACACACGTATTTTTTTTATGTTGAATCAAAATTATTTTCAGATTAACCTATCATGTAAATAAAAGCAAAAGTAGTATACCGCTGTTCAATAGTCATATCTCCATTTTGTTTGCACACTCAATGTTGTCAATATAGTGGAACAACAAACAAACGTCATACAAGTGGGAGGTGTGGCTACCTATAAGACTAGGTCACTCCATCATTTTCCTTGGAAAATGCCTGTATGAAGTCAGGAATATGCCAGTTATTTTCAATTTGTTCTACTTGTTAGTATATTCTCATGTTTGATTTCGTCAAGTTTTATGGACTTCCCCCTTTTTAAATTACCGTGGAGTTTGATATTTTTGTTTATACATTTTTTACATGTATTCACAAGTTTTCTAGAATCCCTAAAATTAAGATCTTGACATACGGTATGTTCTTTGTGGTATTGTTGACAAACCCATATTGTATTTATTTGCTTGATGTAAATCTTTTTTTGTTCAACTTGGTTCGAACATTTTAAGAATGTATTCTTGTCTTTTCTACATGTAAGCATGCATGTCATAGACGTTAGGATAATTGTTTTCTTGTTTTAGGAAAAAACGTAAGGAAAAATCCGGTTACAGTTTACAGAACAAATCGATGTGTCCACTCGTATGTATTTAAATATAAAATAAATGATTGTGACTCATCAATATAAGATGCATCAAAGCAATACAACAATCTTATTAGTAGAATTGTTGCTAAGGCAAAATAAATTATCATAAAAATGTGTACCGAAAAAAAGCAGTCATGACGGGGGGGGGGGGGGGGGTTCTATACAGAAAAGCTTATATATAATGCAGAATCTTTTATCGTATTACACTTTTTATACTTGTGAATTAAAATCATTGTTGAAACAAACGTCACATGAGCCTCATCATATCTGATATGTGCAATCATATAGGAGTGGTAACATATAGATTCATTAAAGGTTTTGACGGAAATAAATGATAATATACATGATATAAAGTCAAATCACCGGATTCTTTATCTCAATTTAACCGTTCGAAATTTGAGTAGCTTATTTAATTCCATTTCTCAGACTATTCCATTTCTAAAGACACGAACGATGTGATGATGTTTCACAGAACCAAACCGCGACAAATAAAGAAACGGTATTTATCAAAAGTACAATATGATAGTTTTGTGATATATTGATCAGATTTAACTTCAATGAAGAACCTTTGAGTCTTCAAAATGCATTTATCTATTGTGAATGTCTTGCATGGGCTGGACATTTTGAATGCCATTGAGAAATCAGGGTATATTCGATAGGAACAGACATTTATTCTGTCAACAGGTCACATAAGAACCCCTCAAATAGTTGTTACAGCAGTTCTTAACGTGCAGAGATCGTAGCATGATATAATGGGCGAACAGTTGTTCGTTCGAAACCTAACAGGATTAAAAGAAAAGGTAACATCTTTGAGAAGAATACAATTTAAAGCATAGCTTACCGTATTAGTCGATTTATGCGACGCACACATGGTATCGGTTGAATATTAGTGATTTCGACCGTAAAATTGGGAAGTGTCTTATTCTAGCGTAAAACAAATGTATACCCGTGTAAATACCATAACATTCATTGCTAGCCGCCTTAAATAGAACGTGAAGTTAAAATATATGGTAACTGTTATCAAATGGCTATTGTCAATGATTTTATTTCGTTAGTATAAGATAGAAAATTATTTTCTTTTCTCTCAGTGTATTCGATTGCTCAAAGTAAAAAAAGACCAACATAAATTGAAAAACGGGAAAGAACCAGTAGCAGTACTGTCTATCATAGGAGAGGCTAAAGAGTATCTGCCGAATGAAACCATTAAAAATCAACTTAAAACTGGTCTGATTGAATTAATGATAACAACATGTAAGCGTACATTTTTTTTTTATTCATTTTACTTCTTTGACTTCGTAAATAACTATTTGTGCTAATTTTGTAGAAAATGTCCCCTCTAATCTAAATTCGGTTCAATCAATCATTTGAGAAGCAAACATAAACTCTGTTTATACATTGGAGAAAAATTAGTATGACATGCTGTATTTAGATAGAATTCGAAAGTACAGTGCTTTTATTTTATTAATTTACAAAGCATACGCATTGCCATATTGAACGAATTAATATATACGAGATAACTCGTGTGATTTTATCAACAAATTAAACCTTAATAAATTTTCTTTTCATCACATATGGTCTGAATAGCTATAACAGTAAATATACATTTTTATACCGTTTGGAACATAATACTATTATCATGATTATAATAACTATTCATTTTTTTAAAATACAATTAAAATCATCATTATTTGGTTACTTTCAGGTATATGGATAATTACTGAAGGACGAGATACATGTATCGGGCAGGTTGTTGAAGAAGTGATTCGAGGAAACACAGACAAATGTCAATCTCGTTGTTTCCACAAGGATGATACTGTAAGGGACAATTGAAAGTCACTAACGATTTAGTCATATTTTACAAACAATAGAATAATTTTCAAAGCACACTAGGATTACTTATAAAACACATTATAACTATTTTCAAAACACATTACAATTACTTTCAAAATACACGAGAATTACTTTGATAAAAGACTAGAAAAAATTCAAAACAGTAATTACTTGAATGTATAAGCATTTATTCTAATATAAAATGACAATTTGTAAGAATCAAATATTATGTGTAACTATTTCAAAAACAATATTAGATACACCTCCTCTTCTTACTTCAGACACCAATATCTATAGAATAAACTCATCATAGATACCAGGATTAAAATTTTATATTTGCGCCAGACAAAAGACTCATCAGTGACGCTCGAATAAATAAAAGTAAAGATCGATACGTTGTGATAAAAGCAGCATCTGTATTTTGTTTTAAATGTGTACGAACTTGAACATTATTCATCTTTAAATATTTAAAAGTATTTATTTTTAAAGAAAACATGCTTCGAATAGCATGTTGTTTTTTGTTTTCATTTTCCGCCGAAAATGTCGAAAAAGGTTGATTCTAGATTTTAGCCATCATGGAAGACTTGTATAGCTTTTTTTATTTGATGACAATAGTCGATTTTAAAGGTCATGTTTCAAGTTAGAAACCTTTCAATTAGTTTTCTGTATATATCTTAATCTTAAAAAGATATTAATGTTGGTATCATACCATTGTTTGTCCTTAAATTTATTTACAAAGTTTGTAGACTTTGATCGATGTAGGGCTTGACATATAGTATACCTTATTGTCTTTTAAACCTTATGTTGACTTTCATTTTTTTTTTTTTTTGGTATTTTTTATTTTTGTATGTTGTTGAGCTCCTTTTTCATGGACGTATATTCAGTCCTAAAAATAATTCGTAATTTATCTAGATTGGTCACACACATTTGAGTGATAATAAGTAGAGTTAGGATCTATGTTTCAACATAATGAGTTTCTCAATTTATGAATCAATTAGTTCAATACACACAGGAACGTGACAGACTTAAAACCGGAAACCAGTCGATTCAACCAAATGAAAGTAACCTGGAAGTTTTCATTAAAGGTGAGGGAACATTTTTAACTTTGGGCTCTTACGATTCTAGTCGATTGAAAATATGAATAAATTATTAGTAGATGAGTAAATATTTAAATCAATGAAAAAGGAATCATGAACACATTCTGACGATTTTTTTTTATATCTAGAAACTGTACGGATGCTTTAATTTTATAATGAAATAACTTGTAAATCCTAAAGTGAGGGATTTCCTTCCAGCAAATAACTTAACATATACTTAATTGTAATGATTCGGTTTGAAAGTTTGGATGTTCCTGTAGAAAACTATTTACAGGTATATTTTCATGTCATATATATTTTACAACAGAGCACTTGAAGATACCGTTGATAGTTATGCTTGTTGGCGGCGGGGAAAACTCATTCGAAGCCGCTTTGGGGAATTTAAAGAGGAGTTATCCTGTTTTGGTAATAGAAGGGTCTGGGAAAGCGGCTGACTTTATATGTAAGGGATACAGAATGGGTATGCATAACAACAGGTTAGTGATTTATTTTTAAGTATGAATTTGCTTTGAACTTACGTTCCGTAACTGGGAGTAACGGCGAGAAATGGTATATGCGTATTCTTTGTCTATCGTAATTTTATAGGATATTTTTTGTGCGTTATATCAATCTAATGAGTCAAGCTAGTAGCAACCAATTCTTACAATTTGCCTGTTTGCTGTGAAATTAAATCTCTGTCCCGGATAAGGGGAGGGTCGAAACATTTTTTACTGTCGAAGGTATGAGAAGGTTTGATGAATTCTGAATTCAAATATATTGTCCAAATATAGACAAGTACATGTATGTTCATAAGAATATATCCGTCATCAGTATGTCTTTTGTATATTTACAGTGAAGAATTAAAATCTGAAATGATAGAAGCAGCAAAAATGGTATATGGTTCAAATAATGAAAAGGCAGATACAATACAAACTAAATGTGAGAAATTAATAACGCACCTACAGGATGTAATGGAGAGAAATTCGAAATCGGTATGCATTATATATTGAACAAGTATGTCCGGTATAAACACATACAAGAAAATATTTTTTACCATGACCTTTGCATAAGCTAATTGTTGTTTCTGACATCTAGGTCTTTGTCGCATAGATTAAAATTTAGGCACTTTTAAAATGGATTGAAGGTGTCAACTGTATTTCACTTACTTAAAAAAATCTTCACTGGGGGGGGGTTATAACATTCATAACAGGTTTTTGAGTATTGTTTCATCTAAACAAAACAGTGTGACTTGAAAATTAAAACAACAGTATTGACTTTGTTTGAATAAAATAAATTTACATTTCAAAGCAATTCAATCAAATGGCATTAACATTCTGGTTCACTGAAGTTATGCAGTAGTTCTGCATATTTATCACATTTGTAAAATCATCATTTTAATTTTCAAGAAGAAATAACTTACTGTCTAATTGAAGCAGAATTTTTTAGCAATAAAATCAAATTTAAACATACACTATTTTCATTTATGTGGTAGTAAAGATTTCAAATGAAATTACCTGCGTACGTAAAGTGCACTTGCGTATCTAATGAGAATCTGTTATTGCCAGTCTATGAATTTTGTCAAAGGGGCATTAGCTACGAGATGTTCAATCATTAATGAAAGTAAAATAATGAAATAATAATTCGCTTTTAGCAAACAATTTGGTTCAATTTTGTAAAAATAAGCTAAGAAAAATCGCTGATGCATTTTTCACTTGCAAGTAAATAATTCGACATCTTTGAATCCGTATTCATGTGACCTTCAATTTAACCCCTTAGCTAGAGATAGGTTACACATGAATTAGAAGTGTTCAGTTATTAAAAGGAAAAAGATGTCAACATTGAAAGTGAAACACGAGTAAACCATTTGATTGTCTGATTCGATCTACAAAATCTTATTCTTATACAAGTAAAAACGATGATTAACATATATTTTAAACATATAATATGAAATCAAACAGACGTAGAAAAATCCAATTGCACAAGTGCGTTATCTATTTATATCTATATTTATGTTTATATCGGGTTATGTGACCGTCGGTAGTCTTTGGAGGTCATCTCGAATGTTAATTAGATGGCGTCTAGACTCTAACTCATACGAACTACTAATACATATTATCGAACCATTGCATTGTAAATTGTTGATTTTAAACTTTTTATGATTTGGATAAACGTTTTAGTATGTTATAAATCAAATATGAGAATATGAGTCAAATCGGTGAACACGAATTTGACAGCTAATGCCCCTTTTAATAAGTCGCTAAAGTTTAAACAAAGTATTCCCTTACATTAAAAATCATACACTGGAATTTTTATCCATATTAAATACTTTTAACATGATGAATAATAATGAAATTTATGTATTTTTATTAGTTACGTGGTTCCCTAATTTCAAGCCTTAATTTTTACGTATTCCTTACCTATGATACGATCAATTTTTTTCAGTATATTTTGCTGGTGAACGGGACAATATTCTATATTTTACCTGCTTATTAATTTCGTTTTCCGATGTTCTTTCTTTCTTTAATTTTTCTTTTCTATCTATCTTGATCTACAGTTGGGTGCAGACCAAGCGTAACATGTAGACGGGCGGAAAATGTTAACGCGGCGTTTACTCGCGTGCATTATATGTAAACGCCGCGTTAACTCTGCGTTAACTCTAAAATTTCAGTAGACATAAAAAGTAAACTGGCGTTTTCATTTACCTCCGCGTTAACGCGAAAAGGGCGCGTCTTCTGATTTTGTAAAGAGTAAACGGGCGTTTACGTCCGCGTTAACGTAGTAAAAGGCGCGTCTTCTATTTTTGTAAAAAGTAAATGCACATTTACTGGTTGTAGTTAACGCGCGTTAACGCAGTTTGTCATGGTATCCTGGATTACACTGACCTATCATATCAGATGACTAACTCCGTAAAAAATGTCTAACTTTACATTTTCGACAAATATATAGATAAACGATTACAATCAATGATATGACAAGTATTTAATTAATTTAAAATTCAAAACTGTACATAAGTTACAAAAGGATATTTTTTTCCGGAAGCGTAAAACCTTTTTAATCTATTTTTTGTCAGTGGTAATGGATTTGAAAACGATTACATGGTCCGAAAACAAAATGTTCAGATTCATGATCTGTTTGAAGCCTGGCCAAGATAAATTTGCCGTACAGAATGTTGTCAACAGTTGACCACTTACTCCTGGCACTTGAATATTATTTTCCCATATACATACAGTTTTGCATTACATGTATTTTTTTTATCAAAATGTTGTGTGAAGCGATACCCGTTCATTTATTATTTGCAACATAAATATTTGCAATTTAAGCTAACAGGTTGTTTTAATATCCTTGTACTGGTCTGATAATTGATTACTCTCTATACCTACGAATGGATTGTTTGCCTGCATCAACAAAAGGTGCCAATATTTTCCTTTTTGTTGAGATATTATACAACGGCATAACAATTCTGTTGTTTTGGTCCTTCAGGATGAATAGTTTTACACAAATAGAGAGCTCTATAAGTCTACAGTTACTAATATTTATGTTCATAACAATAAAAGTTGACAATATTTCTTTTTTTATCAATAATCGTGTACTGGCCTAATAATTGAATACTTTTTATTCCTCGGGATGGATTGTTAGACAGTAGTATACCGGTGTTCAAAAGTCATAAATCGATTGAGAGAAAACAATTCCGGGTTACAAACTAAAACTGAGGGAAACACATCAACTATAAGAGGAAACCAAACAAACAACAGGAACACTGAAGTGCAACAAAAACAAACGCCAACATACATAGAAACGAACAATTTGATATCAACTGCCATATTCCTGACTTTGTACAGGACATTTTAAGAAAAAATGGTGGATTGAACCTGGTTTTATGGCTAGTCAAACCTCCCGCTTACATGGGAATGTTAAAAAACATATCGCTAAAATGACAACACTACGTGACAGAAATACAGCACAAACCTTCATCACATAGAAACGCACAAACAAATAATATAATAGTCGACACAACATGCAAACCGCAGAACAACAGCGAACATCTTCCATCAACGACAAACACCACAAGACATCACAAACAGTGACGCACTTACGTAACGAATATGCAATCTCGAACTTTATACAATTATTTTCACAATACCGGTCCAAACAATTTTCATGACAATGATGGTATTGAAAGGCTATTTAATAATTAATTGGACTACAAACGATAAGACATGACACATTATCCAACCGAAGCCATAACAGAAACATCAAAAAATAAATACACGAATGTTGGATGTACAAAATACCAAGACACGTCGTATAGCAATGCAAATTCACACTCGGTATAACAGTCATATTCGGGAATAGGTCACGTTCGGTACAGACAGACGACATAGATGTTAAACCACAATCTAAGTAGTGGTAAAAATGTCATAAATTAGTTTAGACACAGACACATAAAAGTGAAGAAATTTAAATTTAAAATTGCAGTATTTGTTGTCGCGTCAAAAAAAAGGTGCCAATATTTTCCATTTTGTTAGAATATTATACAACGGCATAAAAATTCTGTTATTTTGGTCCCTAAGGATGAATAGTTTTACCCAAATGGAGAGCTCTATAAGTCTACATATACTAATATTTATCATGTTTATGTCGAAAACAATAAAAAGTGACAATATTTCTTTTTTTTTTATTATTATTATTGTACTGGCTTGATAATTGAGTATTGTTGTTCTCTCAGGATAGATTGTTAGACATAAAAGTAAAGAAATTAATGTTTAAAACTGCAAAATTTGTTCCTGCATAAAAACAAAAAGGTGCCAATATTTTCTATTTTGTTAGAATATTATACAAAGTCATTAACATTCTGTTCATTTGGTCCCTAAACATGAATAGTTTTACACAAATTGAGAGCTCTGAAAGTCTACAGTTACTAATAGTTATGTCCATAACAATCAAATGTGACAATATTTCTTTTCTTTTTTTCAATATTTTTGTATTGGCCTGATAATTGAGTAGTTTTTATACCTCAGGATGGATTGTTATGCATAAAAATGAAGAAATAAAATTTAAAATTGCAAAATTTGTTGTTGCATCAAAACGAGATGCCAATATTTTCCATTTTGTTACAATATCATACAACGCTTTAAAATTCTGTTCTTTTGAGTCACTAAGGATGAAAAGTATTACACAAATTGAGAGCTATATAAGTCTACCGTTTCTAATTTTAATGTCGAAAACAATAAAAAGTGACAATATTTCTAATTTTATTAATATTCTTTTACAGACCTGATAATTGAGTATTTTATAACCTAGAATGGATACATAAAGTGAAGAAATTTAAGTTTTGAATTGCAAAATTTGTTGTCGCATCAAAAAATATATTCCATTTTGTTATAATATTATACAACGGAATTAAAATTCTGTTCTTTTGGTCCCTAAACATGAAAAGTTTTACACAAATTGAGAGATCTATAAGTCTACAGTTACTAAATAAAGGCAACAGTATTGTACTGTTTCAATTGTGATAATTCGATTAAGCAAAAACAAATCCGAGTTACACACTAAAATCGAGGGAAAACATCAACTATAAGAGGAAAAAAAACGGAACAACAGAAAAACTGAACTAAAAGCAACCGTCAACATACATAAAAACAGACTGTCTAGTAATAACTGCCATATTCCTGACTTGGTACAGGACATTTTATGAAAAAAAGTGTTTGGTTTAACCTGGTTTTATGGATAGCCAAAACCTCCCGCTTAAATGGCACTGTTAAAAATACCGATAAAATGTCAACACTACGTGACAGGAATAGAGTACAAACAAACGCAAGAACACTCAGCACAGAAAAATACATATATAAATGATATAATAGTACATTACAACATTAAACATTTAAACCGCAGAATAACAACGGACACCTCCCATGAATTTACGACAGCGACCCAGGGACCCACAAACGAAATATAAACTGCGCGTCACATGAATGGATCAACGTCACAAAAGGTGACGTATTTTTTGTGACGTTTATATTATCACAGGTAAATTTCTAAAAGTAAAATAGATTTGTTTTATATAGACACGTACAAGAATATTAAATTTGGATTGCGTTTGTACTGGTGTTATTTTATGTATTTTTTAACCATGACAAGAATATTAAAATGGAATTGTGTTTGTAATGGTGCTATTATTTGTATATTCTAACCATGTCGGTTTTTCTACTAAATCAAAACTGTGTATAAACAAAATAATCCCGTGCATATAGTTGCTTTAAACTTAACATCATATAAATGAAGTAGCTGATTTTGTATCTTAACTTTTACATACATATAGAAAATATGACCCACCGGATCCACACGTATATAAAAGTTACAACAAAATGCCCGAAAACTAATATATATTTCGATAACAATCAAATGTGACAATATTTCTTTTTTTAATATTACTATTCTTGTACTGGCCTAATAATTGAGTACTGTGTATACCTCAGAGTGGATTGTTAGACATTAAAATGAAGAAATTTAAGTTAAAAATTGCAACATTTGTTGTAAGGATCAATATATGGTGCCAATATTTTACTTGTTTTTTTGTATTATTATAATGTACCAGAAATAAAATTTGGTTCTTTTGGTACCTCTGGATGACTAATTTTACACAAATCGAGAGCTCTTTAAGTCTACGATTAGTTATATGTATGTCGATAACAATAAACAGTGCCAATATCTTTTTTTTTATTTATTGATATTGTATTGTATACTTGTAAGAGCCTGATAATAGAGTACTTTTTAACCTCTTGGTTGATTTTCTGACATGAAAAGGAAGAGGTTTAAGATTGCAAAATTTGTTGTCGACATCAATATAAGGTGCCGATATTTTACCTTTTGTTAAAATATTATGTTACAGCAATAAAATCCTGTTCTTTTGGTACCTCATGAGGGTTATTTTTACACAAATTGAGAACTCTTTAAGTCTACGGGTACTTATATGTATGTCGATTACAATAAAAATTGCCAATATTTCTTTTTTTATATAATTAAAGCTTGTATCATTGTACTGGCGCGATGAATTTTCTTTTTATACCTTTGGGTGGATTGTTTGACATAAAAGGGAAAGAATTATTTTTTTTATAAAAAAAACAATTTCTGTTGTCTGCAGTGATGAACAGGTTGAATAAACGCGACATTATACATCTTATATATAAATGTCGATCAACAAAATCATTCTTAAATGCAGTAAACCATGAACGACGGCAATTGTTTTGAAATGAGCGTATTGTCTGAAAACAAAATTTCACAGATCATCTTCTGTCGTTTTTTTTTTTTTTTTTTTTTTTTTTGCAGTATCTAAATGTCCAATAATGTCTGAAAAAATTATTTAGCGATACTTTATTTATTTATCATTTGCAACATATGAACAAGCCATTGAAAATAAAGAAAACCAAGATTAACATAGTTCATTATAATCTGATAGAATGTACTTCTTAAAAAATATGGTTTTATTTTCAAACTTTAAAAATAAAAATCTTTCTAACAAGAAAAAATAGTATATGTTCTAAGTGCACGTACAGGTAAAGATGTAAAATCTTTAGTAAACGTAACTATAGTAAACGCGCGTTTTCTAATAAACGCGAAAATTGGAATTAACAAATGAAATATGCGCACGCATATCTATCTATCTATCTATCTATCTATCTATTTCTTTATATTTTTTGTGGAAAAGAGTTTATTTAGACGGATATTTTCCCGGCAAGTTTAGAAATTTCGAAATAAGTGTTTGTTAGAATTCCTAAAGGTTTGCAATTGAGATAAAACCACCTGTTTCCATTTAATTAATAAATGAAAATATGTTTTTATGACTAAAAGATGTATAGATAAACAGAATCCCTATATAGGTTGGATATTAGAGGGTGTGTTCCATTAAGGATTGTTCTATGTTGTTTTGTATAACGGGAATGGCAGTTAAAAATGCTATATGAATCCAAATTTAAAAGACATTTACAGGCAAAACATTTCATAGTCCTTGAAGTTATTTAACTTAAAGTATTTTAACAATTATATTGATGACGATTTAAAAAAGGGTGACCGAATATGTGTATACTGCATAACTCATTTAAGTGTACATCTATGTACATGTATGTGTCAATAAGAAAGTAAGAAACATAGACGTAATTACATAATAAGACATCGATCCGCAATGCTGTCAAAACGGCATGCTACTTTTTCCTTTACGATGTTTGTATTCCCAATGCTTTGTCGAATACCATGACTTTGTGCAACGCATAAGACACCGTATCTAGAAAATATTATACCCCCTTAAGCTTGCTATCATAAATTGGCCATAACAATCAATGGATCTTAGTTAACGAAACTGTAATCAAATATTTCATGCATGTCCTTTTTTCAGACGTATTTGTATAAGTTCAAGCCAACCATTTCACAAAAACAACTTGTAATAAATGACTTTAAATACACATACAGACTCTTCCCAGAACCCATGTATGATTATAATTAGAGACAAGTATATAGATATAACTGATTTTATAAAGTGTTATCATTTTTTTTGTCTGAAAGATGCATCATCATAAATTCCATTTGATAAAAATTCTCTGTGACTAAGTTCTTTCAAATAGATGCATCATTGATCTGAATGTATGCCTCTGACAAAAGTATCTTGACATAATTTATAGAAATATGCCAGGAAAGAAGTAATTGTGTACACCGTTCACACTGCGGTATTCTGGAACACCTAATTTAACCTTATAACTTATAAATGAAAAATGAGAAAAAAAACATGTCGCTTCAGATTTCATCATTTTTTTTTACAATGTTGATTCAATAGTTTTAAGAATCCATCCTATAATATTTCAATATAAAGGTAGAATGAAATTACTAAGTAATGATTGGTGCATTTGAATACTGGTAACTGGATGAGTTATTCCCTTAAAATTCCCAAAAAACTTATGCAGCCCCTCTTCGTCATGCTTCTGTGCAATAGGCAGAGCTATGTTCCAATAGGTTGGTTATGTCGAGTAATGTCATTTTTTTAAAAGTCTTGAATAGGTATTATATTTATCTATATGTTTATGTATCTATATTCCTGTTTATTAGAAATAAAGCTTAATATTATAATGAATTTGAAAAACAAGACAATATGATAATATTGACGTGGGCAGTACTAGGCAATTTTGTTTAATAATGAAAAAAAAAATGTTTTAGAGAGAATTGCAGTATAGCCTAGCTGTCAGTAACTGTGAGTAATCTCAGATATGTACTTGATGTCTTTTTAATGTGAGGATGTATAAGTACCCTGCCACGTCCGTTCTGTTTTTTTTTTCTTTTTGTTATATGTATTTCTGTTTCGTATCGATCTGATGAGTTAACCCCTTTTCAACTGATTTGTATAGTCTTTTACTGTACTGTTACACCACCGTCCCAAGTTAAAGGGGTGGGGTAGGGGGGGGGGGGGGGTGTCGCCTTCAATCTAGTTTAACCCCGCCATATTCTGTATGTGCCTGTCTCAAGTCAAGAGCGTGTAATTCAGTGGTTGTTGTTTGTTGCTGTATATCATATTTGTTTTTCGTTCATTATTATGTACATAAATCAGGCCGTTAGTTTTCTCGTTTGAATAGTTTTGCATATGTCATTTTTGAGGCCGTTTTTAGCTGACTATGCGGTATTTTTTTTTTTTTTTTTTGCTTATTGTTGAAGGGCGTACAGTGATCTATAGTTGTTAATTTTTATGTCACTTTGTCTCGTATTGAGCGTTGTCTCATTGGAAGTCACACCACATATTTTTATTTTTATATTAACTTTTTTTTTCATTTTTTTTTCAGATTCATGTGTACTCGGTACATGAAACAACATACACCTTAGACAGGACAATTCAGGATATATTATTTCAGTTAATTTGTAAAGGTTTGATTATTTTATTAGCATACGTTTATAAAGAACTGCTTACATCATTTTTCAAAATTCCATTCAATGACAATTTATTACATTGTATTCATGAAGAAAATATAAATTTTACAAATGAGAATATATTTACTTCGATTTAAATTTTAGCTTCATCGCACATGACATCCGATGAACTATCTTGGAAAGATCAGTACACATTCATTTTCTATAAAACTAGTTTAAAAGTAAAAATGATCAAAGACATCAATCGAAATGCAAAATTCCTGCATATTTCAAATGCCATTTGCATACCAGGTATAAATACAAAAAGAATATTTTGGCTTTAATAAAAGATTATCAATTAAATTAAGTAACAGGCTGGATTGAAGGCTAGACGACACAAAAAAAAAATAACCTATCAACTTTGAAAGTATAATGTAAAATAAATAAATACCAAACTCCAATAAAAATTCAAAACGGAAAGTCCATCAAGTGGCAAAATCAAAAGCATCAAAAGAAAGGAAAACAACTGAAAAACAAATTTTACACTTTTGGACAAATGAGCTGCCATACATTGTAAACGCTGAGTTTAAAAAATAATCAGATTGGCCAGTTTTCTCATGTATTACATATGTCACAATTGAATGCTTCTTTTTGAAATCTAATTTGTGAGTAAACACGTTGATCGAAGTACGCTTAATAATCATACAGTGGGCACATTTAACGCTTTTACAACCCTAAAATGACAGAAAGAAGAATCCAATTATTATAATTACATTTATCTATGACTATACAATTACGAGTTTAATCAAGTCTTGTATACAATGGTCTGTGAATTGTTTTAACATTGTCATGTAGATGCATTTTTGTGACATACTGTATACATTGTGAACAGTTATTTTTTTATATATTAATTATGTATTTAAAACAATAGATTTGACATCTCAGAATGAATTGTTTTGCAATAATTAGAGTATTTGTGTACAGTTACTTCGAGTTTTGTTAACTCTTTTTTGAATGTCAATGCGGTTTCTTTTGATTGAAAATCATACACTGGCCTTTGAAATAGTTATCTTGGTAACATTTTTAACAATATGTTCGTTTTGTCGAATTACATGTTATACGTTTATGGTAAAAGAGACACACACATACTAGCATATTTCTTAACGAATGATTGTCATCTGGAAATACAAAATTATTCACAATTGCCACACAGATTGTATTAAGTAGACCCATTTCTGTAGAATATTAATTATAATTGGTGGGTTTATCGTTTATGCTCAATTCGGACAGCGTCCGTATATAATTTTGTACATGATACGTATTTTTTTTTTCGGTTCGGTTATGGACACGAGGCACAAAATAAGGACATGAACACCAACATGACCAAGACATGTTCATTTCCAAAGAAACTATTTAAACAGTGAAATAAGTCGGTAAAAAATATTTCATTTATTGTCAATCAATCACAAATATTTAACCTGCAAATTTAGACCTAGCCAGATGGTTAATGCAATTGAATAAATACAATAAACAGTAGTATACTGGTGTTCAAAAGTCATAAAATGATTGAAAAAACAAATCCGGGTTACAAACTAAAACCGAGGAGAACACATCAACTATAAGAGAAAAACAAAGGAACAACAGGAACACTGAAGTGCAACAAAAACAAACGCCAACATACATAGAAACGAACTTTTTTATAACAACCGACATATTCCTGACTTAGTACAGGACATTTTAAGAAAAAAATGGTGGGTTGAACCTGGTTTTATGGCTAGCCAAACCTCCCGCTTATATTACAATGTTAAAAAATATCGCTAAAATGACAACACTACGTGACAGAAATCCAGCACAAACGCACGGAAGAACATTCATCACAGAGAAACGCACAAACAAATAATATAATAGTCGACACAACATGCAAACCCCAGAACAACAACGAACATCTTCCATCAACGACAGACACCACAGGACATCACAAACAAGTGACGCACTTACGTAACGAACATGCAATCTCGAACTTTATAAAATTATTTTTTATAATACCAGTCCAAACAATTTTCATGACAATGATGGTATTGAAAGGCATACAAAGGTATACAAAATGTATTATGGTAACAAACTAATCTGACCACTTTTAGACGAAACGAACGAAGACAAGCTTACAGACAACATATTACATTTTGTTGATTTATGGAACAGACCTGACATTGCTGAGAAAGAAATATTTAAGTTAGAAAACAGCAAAGTTTTGGAAAACTTACAGGTACATGTATATGTTACAATTCGATTTTTGTCTATTCCTCGCAAGTAAAATTTCACCTATCATATCCCTCTGTGTACACTTCATGTTGCTAGACTGAGTCTGCACTCTGACAAAGAGTAGTATTGTTTCAACAAAAGCAAGTTTGCTTTAAAGTGATGCTGCTTAATCGTGCTGACACAACAATGCTTGATCGAAAACAGAGATACAGCTTAACAGAGCTTACACAATAGTGTGTAGCCTAGCTGAGATTTCCCTTGCTACGAGAGCTCATTAAATAGAGATTAGATAGAAGATTGAAGAATATTTGAAACTCTTTGAAATACATTTAATCTGTATCGCGTTCTTTTGATAAGTATAAATTTCGTTATAATTTGTATTATGGTTTCTAAGTCACAAACGAAGATATGAGAGCGCTTTGTGTCTTTTGTATCTATGTTATTTGTGATTCGTGCCAATCTGAGGAGTCAATATATATGAGTTTTGCAGTTTGTTCCTATTCTATACTGTTACACCAGAGTCCCAGGCTAGAGAGAGGGTTGAGCGCTTACGAACATGTTTAACCCCACCAAATTATGTATGTGCATGTCTGGAGTCGGGAGTCTGTACCTCAGTGATTGCTGTTGGTTGCTGTCTGTTATATCGGTGTTTCGTTTATTGTTCTTTCGTTAACCAGGCCTTTGATGTTTTTGTTTGATTTGTTTCACATTTAGTCATGTCAGGCCTTGTATAATAGATTAAATGTTATGGAGTTTGCTCATTGTTGAAGGCTATACAGTTACCCATAATTGCTTAAACTACGTTATTTAAACGGATAACCACTTCTCTTTATTTTAAACTTGACTCCTGCTAAAAAGTTTTTATTCATCTCAATTATTTTAATTCTTTTGTCGAATTGATGGACAAAAATAATAAAAGGGGACTAACAAATGCAAGTCAAAGATAGAGCATGTCCAAAAAAGGACTAAAAGGCATATAACAATCCATAAAAGACTTTCATCAAAAACTAATAATTTAGCGAGACATATTCAACAACTTTATTTGGTACAAAAGGGTAAGTGTGTCTGAATCAAATCGTCACATGTCGTCGTGCCCAGGTTCATTTATATGTTCTGTTTACTGTAAATTCTTGAATTCTATGGTAAGTTATATTGTTTATACCATCTAACTCAATATGTGTGTAATTTATACCCATAAACATCATAAAGTCTTCATTGTGTAGTTAATCATAAAATAAATGTGATAATATTTTTTATAGAAAGAATTAGGCAAAAAAAAGAGCAAATTATCAGAGCTTTTCATCAATGCATTGAAGAAGGATAGGATTGATTTGGTTAGACAAGTGCTCGAATATAATTTGGACAAAAAACTGTATAAAAGTTTCTTAGATCACTCACTTGAAGGCTTATATGAGGTTAGTTAGAATTTAAGTATATGTTATACATGCTTGTAAAACTGACCAGAATAGAGCATATACCTATATATATAAGACGTGCCGCATAGAAAGGCTATGTGTCTAATACTTATATATTAACGTAATTTTTTGCAAAATCTGTAAATAAAATCAAACCTTCTTTTAGTAAACTGACAAATGTCCATTTAATTATAATCTGTCTGTTGATTGGTGATTATTGTCTTGTGAAGGAATTACCGTATTATAATTCAGGTTTAAATGAATATTATCTTCTCCAAAAATATTTCGCAGAGAACATTTACATGTCAACATATTTAAATATTTGTCGATTGAAGGATATTTTCAGATGACGGATTCGATAATGATTCAACAGTATTCGATAATATTCACAGTCCAAGTAGGAAATTGCTATCATTTTCATTGTTTTATTATTTTTACTTTTAGCAATATAATAGTTAATGTAAAGCCAAGTTTCTAATCGTTTGGAGTTTTCCCGGTATTTTTTTTTTTTTTTTTTTTTTCATCGGTTATTATTTTCATTTGTTATCCATTCTGCAAAAAGAGAGAAAAAGGCTAAAAGTGCAATACACATATAAAAAAGACGATGCAATGGCTTAAAAGAAGAACGCCAAAACAACAGTCCACAAATCACTACACATACAAATATTGATTACCAGTGTGAAAACTTAAGTGCTCCTAAACGTTCCTGCTTCCATAGTGAAACCAACGTAACCCTCATACACTATATTGAATCATTGCTTTTTGTGTAACCGAACACTCTATTTTTGGAAGTTATCTGTTAACATATTTTTCCATATTTTGCTATAATTTTAAAACCTTACAGTCTTAATTTGTTTTCAAAAAGTTACATTATATTCTCAAGGTTTTTAATTATTTCATACTTAAGCGATGCGGCGACTTCTTACAGGCGAGATTTTTCCCTTTCTTTTCTTAATTGGGCATAATTGGTTAATTCATGTAACTCATGCACAACTATTCATTGAAAAATAGTGTCTTCTGATTTTAACTCAGAATTTTCTATCATAAGCAAGAAATTGAGGTCAGATCAAAGTTTAAAGTACGATTTAGATTTAGACCCTTGATCACAATCCCTACTCCTCTGAAATCATACCACTTATCAAAACATGTTGGTCTTTTGTTTGTTCGTCAGACAAATCTGATTGTGGTATAACATATAAAAAATGTAAAGACCCGGTTGAAGATTCATTGGTCCGTATGTATGTCCGTTGGTGCTTCCGATTGCCAATCCAGCGTGTTCAAAATGTACATTGATGTGCGGCATACGCCTATTAGTTTAATAATAAGAGCAAGTGATATGATTGCCAATGTGACAATTATCAACAGGCAAAAGCTTTATTTAGATGACATAAGCTACATGTCAATGTATGGTCTTGAGCTAAACCCATTCTATATGCATACCAATAATGACAATATCTTTTTTATTTTTAATTTTTATTTTTTAAAGAAACGATACGGGAATTACAGTTGATCTAATCACGACTTCATATTTCAAGCAAAATCCCAAATACTATACAGCATGAGTGTATGTTCATGTAATGAGGGTAGAATCTCAATAACGGTTTTGACTTCTATACTAAAATAACGAGGTTCAATTTGTTAACCGGCATGACGTAAAAAGAACGAATCAAAGAATCTAACTTTATATATTACTTATATAGGACAATGGAGTTGATTAAAAATTACACCATTCCAGGCCATTTTGTTGTCTACATAATTAATATTTGCTATACTTAACAAGTTCCGGGTCGAATCCGATACCGATACCAATAATACCTGTTACCAGTTACCTTATCTGTCATACGCATCACCAAACGGTGTATTTGGGATTTGTTATATACACGGGTCATTACCTGAACTTCGTCATTAGATAGGAGTTGGCACTACTTAAGTTAATCACTGACCAAAAAAAAATATATCTACAAATAGTTTCCGGTTATAGTAAGAAAATCAGGACGGATTCAAACAGATTGATTTTGAAGCAGAGAAAATTGTGCACCTTATAATCAGCATGGCTTTATCAAATGCCAATACGAATATACAAATCCAGGCTGAAAATGAGGCATAGGTACTTTAATTCAGTCGCGGACCCGTTATGTCGCGAGTGTATTCTAGTATTTCTAAATTTTCATCAAATGATGAAATGTTGAACTTTGTTAATTTTATTTGTAAAAGTGATGCATACAAATACATTGTTATTTCTGTTTACTCCTCTTATTGTTGTGTAAGCCAAAACTATCACAATATTCAAAATACTTGTACATGTATATTTCCGTGATTGAAATAATGTTTTAATTTACTTTAATTGTCAGGATACTGAAACTGCCTTAATTTGAACCATCTAACATCGGGCTAAAAGTTTTATCATACTGATCCTTTGTGCATGTATCTAAAGTGTATTTTTAATTTTCAAAAATTGGACTCACAGGACAAGAAGTCCAAATTAGTCATTGTCTAAAAATTGTACTCACAGGACAAGAAGTCCAAATTAGTCATTGTCCTTTTAACGAAAGGTCCAGCAGATTTTTTGTAATTATGTAATAAACTATGCATGTGATAGATAGGATCTTCAGATAGTATTTTGCATCGGTCCCACACTCAATAGTTGTTAAGTGGATAGTGCACTTACCATGTATGTTCATATCAATATCAACATATTTTTTCTTTCAGACCGACGGCTGTATTGGAGGGAGTATTTTCACGAAATTGAAGGTACAGTAATATGATTACATTAAGAATCTACAAATAACAACATCATCAGATATTTTTTATTTGTTTTTATTACTAAAGTGTCATCGTAGAAATCTGAATACAAAACAGACAACGTATCAACTCTTTACAATCTTCTAACAAGGCTCCTTTCTACTCGCTATAAAATAATTAGTGGCAGAAAAATTTCATTTGCAGACGAAATTATTACCAGACCAAAAAGCAGACCAGTATGTTGTCAGATCCTTTTAAGCAAAGCTTGATGTGAATAAAGGAACACATCGTTAATTTTACCAAAAGGAATCATTGGTTCAAAAACTTCCTTGTCAGTAGCAACACTCTATGAATTTAATATTTATAGTAACCGCAAGATCTATAATATCATAAAAACTGAGAGAAATATACCTCATACAAGTGTGGAGGCTCATGGAATGATGCTACATATAAATGAAATGTTCATCTTTTAATTCTATACCACACAGTGACTATGATTTTCAAAATAAAAAGAGTTGCAGCCGGTTCAAAATATTGACGCTGTCAGGAATACTCATCCTGATTTATACGTGCAAGATTCCCGTTCATGTTAAACTACAGCTGAGTGAGCTTAACATCGGCAACACCACTTTTCTATGAAACGTATAAGAATAAAGGACGTTCAGCCTTTATCTATAACCTATGTTACTAAACAACACCAAACAACTATTGAATTCTGTGGAGGAATATGCAATGACTTAACATGAAAAAAGAAGTTGTAGAAACCCTTACCGAATTGTTTAACGCATTACAGTCATTTGTACAAGCACCAATTAAATAATATAATTGGTCTATAAAAAATATAGGGCCATTTATTTTTTTTAAATCTAAATGTGATGCAACAGTTGATTACCGCTGATAAAATGTATTAAGAATATACAAAAGGGTTAATACGAGACATGAAGGAAAATGTTAACACAAAACTGAGCGAGATCGAGAAGGTCGACAGGTTGATCATAGCATGCTTTTCATATACCATCCGTCGTGCGAATTATCTCTCAGTCAAAATGTAACTTAAAAGAATGGACCATAATTTGCCAGAATACGAATCAGACGATTTATCTCATATCTTAAGATCTAAGACAGCAAAACATGTCTCTTTTGAGTTAAGACAAAGACACAATGAATATGTAAACGAAAACGTGATGGTAACGGTTAGAATTGTTAATTTCCGTTAAAGTCGTTCTTCTGCATTAAACTGTTGCAGCAGTGTTTGCGACAGGACAGACCCCTGTTAAACTTCTAATTTCGGTAGTGTCCTTAATGTCCAGTTCTATGGGATATAAATGTATAAGATGCATGTATTCACTCAATGATTAGTTATAGGACATCCCCTTTTCATTTTTATAAATACTAGGTGAAACCAAAAACTTTACATGACACTTTTTATTTTCTTTTGGAGAGTTATGTTTTAAATGAGTACAAAAAAAACTCGGCTAGTAATTAAGTTGTACAATTAAACCAGGTCTTTAACATCTTACATTTCCTTTATAGATATATAAAACATTAAAATAAAACATCAAAGTACAAAAAAACAGTTGAAAGTAACTCAGCATCAAGTAAGGTACACACATCCGCGCTGAACAATGACTGTATTAGTTGAATGTCGTAACCCTTATTCGATGATGAATAAAATAAGAAGTTACAAAAGGTACAGTGGCATTTAATTAATGATACACAAACATACGATTAGGAAGGGCAAACATATAAAGAAGGCTGATAACAACGGGCCAATCAAAAATCATAAGTCGAAAGCACGGACCGCAAAAAGATCAAACAAAAAACAAACCTACAACACTGAATGTTTTTGCCTGGCGAACCACATAAAAAATGGCAACTATGGGATATCTTTCAGCGGGATTAACAATCCTGCTCTTCTGACAGGTGACACTATGCGGGACAAATGTAAGTCACATTTGGTGTTGTCAAGAAATGGAGGAAGGTTCATGTATTTTGAACATTAGGATATGAAACAGGTCCGCGGATATCTATGACACTTCTATTCAATAACTTTCCAACCAAATAAAGTTTGCGTCCGTTTATCATTTCCAAAGAGATCAAATTATTTTGCTGCTCTGAACCACATGGAGAAATATCTATTCTTTAACATGTTTAGGCAGTAACCTAATTAGGACGGAATCATAGTACAAAACGAAAGCCCAGGAATGATTAAAACACTCCATGCACTATGAGATATATACTCTTGACGAATGTGCTGCTGCTCGTATGATTCTACATGTAAATGGAATGGAAAATTTTAGCACTTCGTATTTGTCGTAGTTTCTCAACCGACCGTAGTTGTCTAGATGAACGCATTTCATGATATTCAAGTATTTTGTTTTGTTAACAAAAAGAGTGGGAAACCAAGTCAATTAAAAAACAATACTGCTAAGAAAATATCGATAATACATTAAAACCACACACAATATACATTTCTTGTCATGTTATTTACGTACAACGACCGATGATATTGTAACAATAATAAAAAGCAGTTACTAGTACTTTTATCTACCTTAAATTGGTACCTGCTATATCTTTGATATCTGAGATATGCTCTAGATTAGAATTATTACTAATTATATTTAAGGAAAAAACATCCAAACAAAACAACATTGTGGAAATGATTAATGATGCTGTGATTAAGATACTCGGAAGCGAAGAAATGAAACCCTTTCAGAAAGGTAATGATAAAATGTTAAGATAAAAATATCATTAATATGTATTTGCTCTATTTGAAATTTTTGTGTGATTGCTTCTAATTTGTCATTGATATGTTGTCTATAAGTTGATAGTTCCATAAAACAAGCCTGAAGCTTTACTGTTGTTATGTAATTTTTAACAGGTCACCTTATTCTCATTTAAGTATCAATTATTCAACTGGTCATTTGTAATTGATAACAATGAGTTGCACTACAAAATTAAAATTAGCCAATCCTCCCAAACATTCTGAATTTTTCTAAATATCTATTTCATTTGTGTCGTGAAATATATTGTTTAAAAAATTAAAACGGTATTTGTATGAACTTATTATAGATACCAGGCTTAAAATTAAAACAGACGTGCGTTTCGTTTACAAAATACTCATCAGTGACGGTGGAATAAAAAAAGGAAAACAGGCCAGATAAAGTACAAAGTTGAAGTGCATTTAGGGCCCGACATTCCGGAAGGTGTACCCGAATACGGCTAAAGTTATCTATTTCAGGGGTAGAAAATCCTAAGAATTTCGAAACATTTCTTTTAACAGTCAATCTATGATTTATTTCAAATCATGTCAACACAGAAGTTAACGTTAACATTATCTTCTCGTGTATTTAAAAAATGTCTCATCCTAAAAATTCAATTATTTGCGAACATTAAGAAAATTCGTAGTTTTTCAATCTTATTTCTATGAAAATGTTCTCTGTATATAAGTGATTAACCTCAATTAACTATCATACAAAAGCAACATGTCAAATTGCATGGCAGAGATAGTTTTTGTTTGTTTTTGCAAATTTGCATGCATCGATATTTACATCCCAATAACTCATTTAATTTGTCTTATTAACTTTCACAATATATAACATATGCGAACACTAATCCTATTTCAATTGACATGGTTGATGACATTGTGTAAATATGTTTTTCTTCATATATAATTCAAATTTGAGTCAAACTGTTCGAAAAAGTCCGTTTATTGAAGATTTTCTCGTGTCTGAATTCTTGTCAACTGTGTATCTTTTCAACACATAGATAAACTGGCACATGAACATGTGTGCATGTACCTGTGTTATGCATTTCTGTAAATAGAGACAATGAAGGAGGATAACCACTATTCAAATGCACATAGCGATGTCATATTGAATGTGTTGATTAAAAAATTCCGGAAAACAAATAGAGATATCAATAATTACTTTTCTTATTGGTTTTCATATATCCAATACAAGAGAACATAAAAACGATACTTAAAATTGACATTAAAGAGCAGATATGTTGTTATAAAATAGAAAAACCGCACTTCAACCTCGGATTGTCCCATATACAAATAATATATATTGCAATATCCAACTTGATTCAGCTTTGAGATCTATTAAATGTATTTATTTTTATTTTTTTAAATTTGAATATTAAGTATGTTCATTTTTTTAGAAGAAAAAACATTTAAAATTTTCACACAATAAAAAAAAATGTACTTAAACTATATCGAATGATATAGATAATTTAAAAATAATAAGTAAACGGTAAATCTGCTGCGTTCAAATAAGATATTGGTTAGGAAAATCATAATGTTTTACCCCAAACGTATTGGTCGTACTTTTTTACTGAGACAAATTCTGATATGTCGGTAGTGCAAATTAATATATAAGTTGTCTGAATGACTTTGTCTAAAAATAACCTTTAGGGAGAATTGGTTTGAGAAACAAATAGTTGTGGAAATGAGAAAATTACAATGTATATAGTACATCATTTCGTCAAAATGACTAATTGTTATCAAATTGCCTAAAATAGCAATTTTTTTAAAATTGATTTACTTTACATAAAGCTTGCTTTGAATTTTTTCTTCTCGCATACACATTTTGAAGGTTTAAATGCTGCTGCTGCTCTGCTGATTATGATGATAATGATGATAATGATGATCTTTTGCAGGTGATGAGATAGGGATAGATGATATTTTCAAGCACCTGTTTGTCTGGGCAGTGCTTATGAACCGCAGAGATTTAGCAATGTTGTTTTGGAAGAAAGACGGTGATTTTATATGTAAGTGTTTAACCGTAATTTAAAGGATATGGATCAATCTTTAACAGTCACAGTGAATAATAAACGCGGATCCTAAAGAAATTTGTATGAACTTTAGACCAAATTAAATACAATCATAAAGGTGTTATATTTAACGTTCATTGTATATTACTCTTTATATTGACTGGGCTTTGCTAGGATCAAAGAATCACTTTCTAATTGTGTCTGTACTAGTTGAAGATGTGTTTTTAAACCCCCATCGTGTAACCTTTGACCGTCCGTCCGTCCTTCCGTCTTTCATTCCGTTCCATTTCTTGTTTCCGCACTATAATTTAAATTTTACTTATCTATATCTTTTGAAACTCGTACACAATGCTGAGAACCAAGACTCGCAAACAGAGTTCAATTTGGGCAGTAGGTCACTTACCGTTTTAAAGTAATCACCTTAAATAACGTGTTTTCGTTTCCGCACTCTATCTTGAGTTTGCCTGATGCAAATTTTCGGAAACTCATACTCAAATCTAAGAAGGAAAACTCGCAGACAAAGTTCGAATTTCGGTAGTGCGTCACTTACCGTTCTAGAGTTGTGCCCCTTTATAACTCGGAAAATTGTTTTTTTTTTTCGTTTCCGCACTCTTACTTAAGTTTGCTTCATACACAATGCTGAAAACCACAACGCACAGAGTTCAAATTTGGGCAGTGATTCTTTACTGTTAGAAAGTTATGCCCCTTTTTAACTTGTAAAATTGCAAAGCTTGAGCGGGGGCATTCGCGTCCTCAGACATATTCTTCTTTATTTTTGTGCAATGGGGGGGGGGGTCTGCATTATAGTTCGAAGTAAAATTTAGTGTTTGTACTATATAACAATAATGGGAATTATTTGCTTATAAAATCGACAATATCAGGAAATTCCGATAAAAATAATGATTTTAAACAGTTAGTTCTTCACATAAAAGTTAAAATCTGATTGATAATTTTTTTTTTCAAAATAAAATAAATCATTGGTTTTTTTTTACAACATAATTACTGATTATTATCTCAAAGGAACTTTAATTAAAACACTACATGTTATTCTGACTTTGTAATAATACATTGAGTGACTGCTTTTTTTGGATGAAAGTAGACACAAACACTAAACGCGCGTTAACTTACATGTGTAGTCGTGAAATCAGCTCATTTGATTTCTTTGTTAAAAAACGTCTTTTTAAACTCTCTACGAGATACGCGTTAACTCGTGTGTTCATGATTCATCACATCACATTATCAGTGAAATTAAAATGGTAGCAATCTGTAAAGCGATTATGTGGTGTATGATAAGATATGTCTTTAATAATTACTATTTTGTAAAAGAAACATAAAAAATAAATATTCAAACAAAATATTTCAATTGATTAATATATCTAACATACATATCGCATACTAACGCGATGTGAGCTGTTGACAAACACATCTGCTGAAATAGATGTGCATCACTAATAAAACTTTTTTTTTTGCATACAAACTGGCGGTTTTTTATTTTCGAAAACTGTCTGTAAATATTTAACTGCTAAGAGATAATTTATCTATATTTGAATTGTATGAAGAAGATATAAAATATCAAGAAAATCAAGATGTTCAACAAGTTCAATGTTATGGAAAATGAACCGTTGTAATATAATGTAATATATGCAAATTACAACGTATCAAACAAAAATAACTTTAACAAAAGAATGTAGTTTAATTATAATTTTCCCAATTAGTGAACACGAAGAGTAAACGTGTGTTTACTTGTAAGACACGTACAGTTAAAATTTCGAAATTTATAGTAATCGCCCGTTGACTACTAACAAAAGGACACACATTACTCGCGGCCTTTAATCGGATTGACACTAGACTTGTCCACGCATTAAGGTAAATATTGTAAAAAACGCATTTATTTCACCAAAAACCGCGAACATTGGAAAAAATAAACGAAATGTGTACACGCGGCGTTAATTTGCATTTAGTTTATGTTATGTTTTGTCTGCACCTAACTGTACGTATTTTAAAACGACTCATCTAGGTTCTGCATTATACGCAAGTTCACTTGCTAAAAGGCTGGCTGAAAATGCCAGCGCCGAAGCATTCATGGATCAACAGACTGCTTTATTGGAAAGTTCTAGGTAAGCCATAATTTACTGTACATTTTTTTACATTATAAATATAATTTACATAAAACACTTTAAATACGTCTTATGTAACCAACAATGCTTGTCATTTCACAGATTTCCATATTTCCGTTTCAAAACGTAACCGTTGTTCATAATGGAGGAGGTACGATAAGAGCCATTAATTTGTCCCTAAAAATAATAAACAACCCTATCCAAATAATATCATATACATTATCATATTTGTAAAATACAGTTATAAGCAAATTCTGATACGCCAGACGCGCTTTTCGTATATATACTGTGACTTTGAGATGAAGAACAGTAATAAAAGCGCTATTTCTTTGCTTTTTGTGTGTTTTTTGCTGTACATGTACTGATTTTTTGTCATGGTTGGATACCCCATACCCTTTGTTTTTCTATTTTATAGAACGTATTAGTGGCACTCGAATCAAACAATATAAACCGTATAACGAATGGGATATCACTTCGTATCTTTTACGGTAATGCTGTTTATAGAGCTAGATGATTTTGACACGATTCTTATACAGTTATTTACATTCAACAGATTCTTAAACAGTTATTTACTTTCAACAAGTACTATTTGTAAAGGTTATAAACTTAATATTGTATTAATATTTTGAATAATGTTTTTTTATCAGTTCTCATATTAATTAGGCATTAGTTAATTAAAACGTAACTAAATATTGCTAAACGTAGATTAACACTTATGGTCCTACATTCCGTCGATATTTATATCTTGGCATTGCAAACATTTATGCTTTCTCATACTATTTAGAACATCTTTACACTATGTAAGTACTTTTTGAACGGTGATCGACACTTAGTGTCTTTTGACTTTTTTCGTAGTTTTCGTTTTTTGGTCCTTCGTGCCAATCTGTGAAGTCAAGCCTTTTCCAACTGAGTTTAACAGTTTGTTCATAAGTTTAGCTGTACAACATTGCCTCGTGCTTTAAATTTTCAGTGGTGTCTACCAAATGCCTGTAAAAGAAAATAAAGCACCTTTTCAACAGTTGAAGAAGAGAGTGGGGGCAATATCGGAAAGCACAAATCATTAAAAAGAACGTATAAGAACAACACAATTCTGGTGATTGTGGTCTTATTTTGCCTTAGATGATATGATTAAGTTAAAACACTGGCAAATAGTTCGATTCGAGCTGTCACTGACAAATAAAGGCGACAGTAGTATACCGCTGTTCAAAAGTCATAAATCGATTGAGAGAAAACAAATCCTGGTTACAAACTAAAACCGAGGGAAACACATCAACTATAAGAGGAAAACAACAGAACAACAGAAACACTGAAGTGCAACAAAAACAAACACCAACATACAAGTCTGTTTTTGACGAAAAGCACATTTGGCGTGGCGTATTCAATTTTAATCATGGTATCTATGATGCGTTTATTATCAAGCCAATTTAATTAAGACTTGTGCTACGCATGCACATAAACATGGCAATTACAGAATGCCAATTATTATGATATTCATGTTTTATTTCGTGATGATATATTTTTTTAGACATTACGAAGACCTTGCATATAGTGTGATGACAGAGTTATATTTCAATGATAGAAAGCACGCTCGCCAACTGTTGGTGACAAAAGTGAAAAGATATAATTCAACTACGATTTTTGAAATAACTGAAAAGTTCACACTGATGAAGTTTATGGGACATGCTGCATGTCAAACAAAGCTGAATAAAATTTGGAAAGGTGGTATTACAGGGGATACATCAAATCTTAAGGTAAACATTTAAAAGCTGCAGTTAAACAGATACATCGATCTTTAAAGAATCGATTGCATGTTTTACGTGTTTGAAAATATTTCCAAATTTTTTATTCTTAAAAACTGTGTACGAGTATCGTGGAGAATCAATTTAAAGGTTCTACAAGTTGAGGAGCATTCTCTTACTTAATCCATTTCAAGAACAAACGTTGTGTAGTTTTATTTTTGAAAATGAATCAATTGAATTGTTAAGGACAAATGTACATTGTACATGTTGTAGTAATTTTATTCTTCATTTTGAAGCATATATTCATCGCCCTGTGCGTCAGTCTGTTCGTTCGTCCGTATATATGTTCGAAACAAATGTTTTCCATTTCCCATTTCCATTCTCAATTTTATTTCCGAATGGTAACTTGAGGTTTCTTGCTTGATTAGAATGAAATTCATTTGATTTTCCGGTCTGTTTGTCAATAATCAGGGACAGTATTACTAAAACTGAATTGTTTTATACAACATGTGCAAGTGGTATTTGGATGATGACTTTCCTTTTCCTTGTCTTCATTAGACTTGCTAGAATTATACTTTTACGGAAGGAACATATAGGGAAGATGATGACGACTCGTGATGTTTTGGTCAATATGTCCAAGTTCTAGGTCACATTAAAGAATAGCTAAGTTTACCTTGGCTTATTGGAATGACATTTGCATAGATGGAAGATATCAGAGAGAGTAGAACACCTATTGCTTTTGGTGTTATTGGTCAAATTCAAGTACAATGTTATTAATTATAAAATCTTTGGAATAATATTTTTACAACGGTAAACTGAGATTCACCTGTTTCATTGAAATAAAACCGCAACAATTGGAATCTAGGGAGTAGGAAAAGGGACCTACCGATTCTGGAGTGAATAGGTAAACGTTAATTGTCACTGTTACTCAAATAGTAACTTAAATGAGTGGCTTTAAAACAAACATTGCTTTTTTTTTTTATTTCAAGCAATTTAATTGGCCATTTGTACCCGATGCGGAATGGTTTCTCAGTGTCAGAGGAGCTAGCCCCAACCTAATTAGTTCAAAGTGGATGCACAATTTTTGTGTTTGTTGCTCTAGATAAAATATCAGTACAATTGTTTGTATCTAGATACCTGACTTATGTGCGGGCGGTTTGCATCTGTTTGAGCAAATTTCCCAATCTGTTGCTAATATGAGTCTAGGAGCTAATAAAACTTACTTAGAATCTATACCAGGGCAAATACAGAAACAGCCATTTAATAACACTATAATAAAATCGAAATCCCTGACGTAATCATTTACAGCTATATAGAGACTGAGTTCATTGAACTGTAAAATTTCAATACGGACTAGTTTTAAGTTAACGAGTTTAGAAATATACACATCGTTAGAAAGGGCAAAATGAACATTACCGTCCAATAAATGAAATTAATAATAGGAACAAAAAACGTCCCCTTTATCGAAAAGTATGGTTATTTGGTTGAAACTGAAATATTAAAGAAAGGACAATTATATGATATTAAAGATCAGGAAGTTCTTTTGGGTATATGTACTTATAAGTAGAGAATTATTGATCATTTGGTTAAATCAAGCAAAAATACCATCATGGGAAGTATTATTAGATTGATCGATAATTCCATTTTTTTTTTAAGATGTTTGTCATCGCAAATATGTTTCATTTGTGATTTACATTGTTAGTTTAAATACTAGTAGCTATGAGACGACAATTCAATTCTGGTTATTGTCTGTTTTCGTATTCCAAATTGAGTTATTTTGGGCCTTGTATTTTCTGTCATTTTCTGTTTAATCATATTGAATTTTCATTTTGAACATATATTGTATTCTTCAGTTTTGTTTTTAAAGATACATAAGGTACACCAAAACGTTGTGATTGGTTAAAATCGTCCTGGACAATGACAATCTAACCAATGGTGTGGTGTTATTTTCATTAATGAAGTTAGCTGTAGTCGTGTAGATTCTGAAGCGATAAATTTACATAAGTTTCTTCTTATACAATGTTGTAAATATAATAATAACAACAGAAGCATTTTCTTAATTATTTTTTTTATATTGATAGGCAATAGTTTTTGCTGTTACTGTTCTCCCTATATTGAAATGGGACATAGTGAAGTCAAACAAAACTGGTGAGAGATCAAACAACAAATTCATTCAATCGGTGAGGTCGGATACAAAAGAACAGGAGAAAAATACAACATGGTTACAATCTGCACCTAACTGGATGAGGAAAATATATTACTTTTACAACTCACCTTTGATCAAATTCCTTTTTTCCGTTGTAAGTTATCAACAATTTTTTTCGTTTATATTATTTATTGTTATTCCAATGGAAATAGAAGTATAAGTACACATTAATAAGAAGGAAAGAAACTCTACAAAACAAATGAAATCAAGGGTTGGAACCCATTACTACAAAAAAGAGCATCAAATGTCAATTGAATTGTACAAGAGAAGAGCATGAACGAAATGTTATATCTAGATAATACAATATTGTTTGTTTGAATGCTTGAATAGCGTGTTGCTAATGTGAATTTGGTAAATGTTGTCCCTTACAAAAATCACGGCGACGACTTTCAAACTTTATGTAAGAGATATTCGTTTTGCTAAATTCATACTGAGCGGCAATATATTTGACCTTTAGTATGCTATCATCTAAATGTTATGTAAGTCGAAATAAAGTTTTCTAGCCAAATGTTGTATTATGAAACCACGCTATAGGTATAATGCTACCACAGAAAGGTATAGTAACTGTATGGATGTGCAACGTCTATTCGGGTGTACTTAAAGCAAGAATCTAATTTGTGTGTTCTAACAGAAATCGAGATGTATATATTAAAGCCTATCTTAGAAAAGGCGAGAATCAGGAACCCCCTTTGCCGGGCTTGGGGGTTTGGTTTTGAGATCGAAGGTCAAACAAAAAAGGAATTAAAGTAGGATGATAATAAGCAGTAGGTAGTAATCACAACATTTACACCCAGGATTACCCCAGTATAATTGAAAAACGATCCAAAATTTATCTGTTCTGGGGTCGGACTCCCCAACAAAGGTCGTCTGGTTATCTGTGTGAAATGTTGCCATACGCACACACAATCACATCTAGTCGAACGTTGGACAGTTAATCAGACGTCTGATGCAATTACTGTGAATGCTTATCTTCTAGATTTATTTGTTATTTTAGAACTGAGTATTCTTGAAATATTGCCACAGGACCGAATGCAGTTTGCAATCAATCAACTAAAAAGACATCTTCAGATCTCGAATAACAAAATGTATGTTCATTGTTGGACAAACATTCAGAATTAAAGGAGAATGTACTAAAGGCAAAAGAAGAACCATAAGTCGAGAAAAACTGGCAATACCATGGCAAAAAAAGACGAAAAGAAAACTAATTGTTCGCAAAATACTTCATAACTTAAAGGCTGGCAACATGACACCAACACAAATTCAAAGGTGATGTCCAGCGCTCCGGAAGGAAGAGGCGGATGCTATAACAAAATGTGAACCGTGTTTCATGTTGCTCTCTGCAAGTCGGATATTTAAACTCATTAGTCGAAAACAAACTGACAATATTATGGCAAAAAACGCAAAAAGACAAAAAGACAAACAACAGTTCATAAAACACAACATAGAAAACTAAGGCAGGTTTGACTGTATGTTAAATTGAACCACAAATGTTTTGTCATTTTCAAATGTTCTTGTTAATTTTAAATAGTTAATGTATATGACAATGTTGGCGGTATTCAGCCTGTTTGTACTGACAGATTTACATCCCATGGAAGAGAAATTTCCCTCAGTTTATGAATATATCGTTTATGTATGGGCTGCATCAACATTGGCAGAAGAAATACGACAGGTATTTATACAAATAGAATATACATTTGAATTCAATAAGCCATGAGTGCAGTTATATGACGGTCAGGTTTTTGAAGGTATTCATGGATAAATTGTATGACATCAAATGAGTAAATATTCAGTTATTGGCTTAGTAACTAATCAATTAAGAGCAAGCTGTCACACGTCATTGTTAGCAACACATCCCAATGTAGTTACCATCAACAATCACTTCACTGATACAGATACAGTTAAGTCTGCCTCATATATTGACTTACATCTAGAAATTGACAATCAGGGCCGGTTGAAAACAAAATTTTAAGACCAAAGAGATGATTTCAACTTCCCAATTGTGAACTTTCCATTTCTATGTAGCAAAATTCCAGCAGCGTCTGCATACGGACTATATATCTTCCATTTGATACGATATTCAAGGCCTTGTATTTCCTATCATGATTTCCTTGATAGAGGGTTGCTGCACACAAGGAAGCTTTTAAACCAAGAGTTCCAAGTGGTGAAGTTGAAGTAATCCCTTCATAAATTTTATGGACGCCATCACGAGTTGTTTGACCGTTTTAGAATATCCGTTTCACCGATGATAGCGGATATGTTCCAATTGTCGTATCTACAATCCCGTACCCCTTTCTCTGAATGTAACCTGCCGAATTAAACTTATTACCGGGTTTGTACTAACATAAGCAACACGATGGGTATCAAATGTGGAGAAGGATCTGCTTACCCTTCCGGAGCACCTGAGATCACCCCCAGTTTTTGGTGGTGTTCGTGTTGCTCAGTCTTTAGTTTTCTATTTTGTACTTTGTGTACTGTTGTTTGTCTGTTTGTCTTATTCGTTTTTAGCCATAGCGTTGTTGGTCAATTTTTACTTATGAGTTTGAATGTCCCTTTGGTATCTTTTGCCTCTCTTTCACTGAATTGATTCAATCATCAATTTTAAAACAAGTGAAAAATATTCATACGAACAGAAATGATGTGAAAAGAGATGCGGATAGACGTGACAACTGAAAGCCAGAACGGACTCATTGAATTGAAAATACAGTTGTTTTTTTTTTCAAAAGACAAAATTAGCGTCCATACCAGATGAAAATGTCTAACTTTTTAAACACTGGACCATAAATAACGTTTCGTGAACTGATAGTTGACTTTCTTATAACAACTAGTTGAGTGTCGCCCTTTATTGATTAGTTCTTGATTGATCTTTTTTTGCTAAACTTCCAGCTGTAAATTGTTCAATCATATTAATAATGATTACATACAGGAGGTTCGCTGGGAAAACGTGTCCCTTTAGTAATAGCATCGCTCAATCTAATAAACCCAATATTACAAAGTTGTAATACATAATGATGAAATTTCAAATATATAAGTTGTTGTCAAACAGGAAGCAAGACAACAGAGGAATTGAAAATTTGTCTCACGGTATTGCAGCTCTAGAGATATTGATAAGAAACTTATATTCCTACTTCAGGTTCCGCTAAAAAGATGATATACTCAAACTGAACAATTTAAAATCTAATGACATTGTTGATCGCATTTATTCCGTTGAACATACATTGAGGAATACTTCAGGTAGAGGTTAATAGGTTTCTTATCTTTGATTTCACTTTAAATGAGGATAAATGTCGAATAAACAAGTAAAGAGAATTTGATGACAATCTGGACAATGTGCCTTTAATCTCCAAATTGTTAACACTAACACCACAGTTGCATCTGTTGTGGCGATAGTCTAGGGCTTACGTTACCTAGCAGGATTTCCAGCACAGATTATTAAAAAGGTATCTCGTGTAAGAAAGATGTTCAACAAATGATTTCTTGATAAGTTAGTCACCAATTCAAAAGATGTCAAAATGATTTAGCTGACCGTCTTTACCAGAATTCGCTAAATGAAATTTGACAATCAAAATTATTTAGTCTTTTAAAATTCAAAAAATATGCCTTGAACATCTAACAGTTTAAACTATACTAAAATTCTGTACAAACCCTCCCTTTACTTTGAGTCCTACAGAGAATTTAATTCGTCTGCTGATAAAACTCCCAAGTTGTATCACTATGAGATGAACATGGAGATCATATTTGGGAACCAGTAGGTAAACAAAACAAAATATCTATCAATATTAAAAAGAGGCGTGGTTTGTGAATCAGCTGTATTTAGCTATAGATACATGTAAACTATAGATTTAATGGAAACAATACAAACGTGATAATCAAAAGCCATACCACCCGTACGAAATTTATTCCAAAGCATGCGTGAGGAAAACATATCTTATGTTTTTTAAACTTTCCATGTATTAATCTATTTGTATTTAGTGCCGTAGCCTAATCACTGGTTGGGTTTTTGTGATCATGATAGTTCTTACTCATGTTGTTCATGTTGTTGATGACTTATCTTTATCGTTTAATCTCACATAAGGATATACCATGTACTATTAATTAGTATTCTTCAATACGCGGCAGGGCAGTGACTACATATAGGGTTAGATACCTTTTGTTGAAGACCCTATATTCTTTTTCACCTTTTATTCTATTGTTTGATTGCTTCACTATTGACGTATACCCAACAACAGCTTTATGTATGCAATACAATACATTTCCTTTCAGGCTTATGCTATGAAGCACTTCAAAGCTTTCGAATTAAAACAACTGTCCTTGAATGCAATGACCTGGTTCTCCTTTTGGACATTGTTTGAAATGCTGATGTACTTAATGTTTATTACGTCTGTATTTCTTCGATTGACATTGTCAGCAGAGAAGTTTTATTATGCACGAATGATGTATGCAGTAACATTAGGAACATTTATCATCAACAGCATGCAGTTTTTTCTTGTTTCGAAACACATTGGACCAAAAGTTATAATGATTGGAAGAATGGTAAGTTAGGATAACCTATTTTCTCTGTTGACAAATGATTTAAATAATGGATCTTCACGTTATAACAAAATATTGTGGATTCATTATTATTCGTTGGATACCAATTTTCGTGGATTTCGTTGGTAGATAGAAACCACAAATTTAAATTATTTTAACGTGGCACGAATTTCCTAAAGACTTGTTTTGAAACTTTGGCAATCCCACGAAATTTTTACGAAAATATAGATTTTTTTTTCAATGAACGAAAATTGGTACCCACGAAATAAATGATTATACAGTATTCAATAAGGTCCTATTTTTACACTAATTGGGTTATGGAAATCATAATAAATATTTGCCATTAATCTGCTTGAAATGCAGCATTCTATATCAAATGTAGATATAGCATAGGACACTCTTTGTCCCTATTGGTCAATGAAACGAAAAGCGTTATAAATATTCACAGAGCAATACCATTAGTATTTTACATGTCGATTTAAACGTTTTAATACTGATTTGTTTTTTTCATCTACATGTAACAAGTCATGTTTAACTCGGTCATATGTTAAGAGTTAATGACGTTTCACTATATATCTATTGTTTTAAGATTGTGTTTGCCTATAGTAGGTGTATCAAATATGAATCCTATATCCAAAGCTTCTCTTACAAGTACTTGATAACTCTTCGTTCTACTTTTTTGTTTTGGAGACTTTTAAGAGATCATCGTGTTTTATATAATCATACAGGTCTTCAAATAAATTTATGTAAAAAATTCCATTGGATTCTGTAAAATCTATTGGAACTGAAGGTAGATTGGATTCTTGTTATGGTTTTTTAAGACATACTTATAGAAGTCTTAATTTCTTTGTAGATGTTCGACGTCATTTTCTTCATCTTGATATTTGCTGTGTTTTTATTTGGCTTTGGAGTCATTTACCAAGCAACTATGTACCCAAATGAATCACCTGGATTACCACTTTTTCAGAATCTAATATATATGCCATATTGGCAGTTATATGGGGAATTGTTCCTTGAACAATTTGACGGTAACTTATGTATTTAGAGCCGTTGTTAACGAGTACATAATTTGGTTAAGTCATGATATCAGTCGATGCAAAAACTATCTTTATATAATGTATAATACCATACTATTGTAATGGGATGATAGTTAACATGTCATTCAAATTCTGATTCGTTTTAGAATAATCTTTTAAAGAGAAAAAACTTTTTTTTTTTTTTTTTTTTTTAGATATTTGATCATAAAAGATATTGAATCATCAAGTACTCTATAGATATGCTGAAACAACTGCTATGCTATTATATAGAAAAACTGAAATTATTGTGTCAATCATACTTGGCCATTCTTTCTTTATTTCTAACATATATGGAAATCAGTCTGCAAGAGATTTACCACGCGATGATTATAAATATAAATAAATAATTGTAGACTCTTTCGACTTTTACGAATTCTTTCCTATTGTTTAATCAAATCAGATTTGTCTCATTATTTGGAAATAGAGTTTTTCATTCCCAGGCATCAATAATATTCAGATAACATTTTTTTTTTCTTTTTCTTGTAATTATGTATGATTTTATTGTCAAATACGACGTTCTTTGGGTTTCTTTTCTGTTATTGGATAAATTCTAAAATAGGTATTTATAAATAATTTCGTTATTTTCTATGTGTTTTATCCGTTATTTTGATATAGATATAAGTGGTATGAGTGACAATGAAACAACTCTCCATCCAAGTCACAGTTTGTAAAATTAAACCATTATAGGTCAAAGTACGGCCTTCAACACGGAGCCTTGATTCGCACCGAACAGCAAGCTATAAAGGCCCCTAACTTGAGTAGTGTAAAACCATTCAAACAGGAAAACCAATGGTCTAATCTATATAAAAAACGGGAAACGAAAAACACTTATGAACCACATCAACAAACGACAACCACTGAACAACAGGCTCCTGACTTAGGACAGGTGCAAACAAATGCAGCGGGTTTAATAATTTCAATCCTGGTATCTATGATGAGTTTATTTAAACGTTTTATCAGGCGCCAACCTTGTGAACGAATAAATTTGATCTATGACACAATGTAAATACAAAATTAATAAAAAAAAAGTGTGGGGGGGGGGGGGGGGGGGTAGATGTAAAACAGAAAGACAACCATAACCTTAGACAAAATGCCGCCAAGTAAAATAATGTACACAGGTAAATAAAAATAATTTTGTTGTAAGGTATACATGGAGTACGGAAATATTTTTTACAAAATAAATTATTTTGTTGTTTATAGTACGAGAACAGAAGTGAAATTCATCGTCATACCAAACACTTATCAAAGATGGTATATATTAAAAATAGTGAGACGAGATATAACACAAAATAAGCAAACATTAAATAACAAAAATGCATTACAAATTGTATCAACAGGTCAAATTAACATGTACGATATGAGAGTACTCGCAGTTACTGAAAGCTAGTTAAAAGCCAAAATCAATTAATAATAAAAAAAAAATCATGCATCAGAGACTAAAATCAACTAAAACACATTCCAGTGATTTAGTGTTTTAACGTCATGGACAGTCAAAGAAGACATGACTTGTGCAATGCCAAAATAAGTTTGTTTAAAGGTTCGATGAGTTTACACGGATCACATAGTGATTTCCGCTCTTTTAGTCCAATATTACCATAAAATCTTTGTATCTATGAAAGAATTTATTAAAGTTTTAAGTAATCTATGGTAACGAAATCCCTGACTTAATAATTTACCAGTGATGCATTTATTATGTTCGTTAAAATATATGACATCACTACACACACGGGCATAATGAACAAGTTGGGATATGTAAACACCGTATGATGGAGTCATCGCCGTCTAAAAAACGAAAATTAACAATAGGGAATGAGAAAATCGTCTCTTTCGTCGTAAATTTTAGTATGGAGTTTCCCTTTAGAAATTGAAATGTCTAAATCTAGAAAAGGACAACCACTACTGTTTATGTAAGAATTATTTAAAGTAAGTTCCTTTGGGTAAATTTCGGTAGTATATTTACTGAACTAGATATAACTGATTTACGTGGATATTTTCTCCATTAAATTTATTGTACACTTATCGAGATATGAGTACTCACAAGTCATGATAGTTCAAACCACACATGTATTTATCCGGCATTCAAACAAACTGCTGCCAACTAATATTTAAGTCACTGCGCATTTAATGCTGGCATATATACCAAAAGAACGCCATCTTAAGGTACTTAGACCGCACTGTTTCAATAACTGTCAATGTTGGGAGGATGGACAATACAGTTAGAAACAATGCTAAGTATAATCGAACGGGGAACGGAGTGTCCAGCTAACACCTCCGCTTAACTACATTTTGATGAGAGAAAATACATGGCTGTTCTAACAGTATTTCAACGCAAATGTTTATATAACCGACGTTTACGTAGCCTTGTTTTTATTGTCTACAGTTAACACAGTGTAAGTATTTAATTTTAACGAAAAATACAGCCTTTTAGTCATTCAAAAACTATTTTGCATTTTTTTTCATTTCAATACACACGCATATTTATATTTTAACAAAATGGTGCTTATCCATGACATTTTGTTTTCATACATGTCATTAAAGCTTTATCTGTTAATAGAAAATTTTGATTTGATTGAACATGTGATCTAACGAATCAATGTATTCAGGATATCAAAACAAACTGTGTTAACGCACGTTTTGGTTCATAAGGTAAACATGCGTATACGTTTAACAAAAATAGAAAATGCAAGGTTTTCACGTTAACGTATAAGTAAACTTGAAAGTTAATGTGCGTAAACTTTATGTGTGTACCATAACTTTGAAGTCAATACGAAGTACAATTGGCGTTTACATGTGATGCACGTGAGTTTATGGCTATTTATCTTTGGACGGTTTGTTTTGCTTCAGACCTATTATAATCTTTGTCTATCTCATTGGCGGGGTTTTTAGGGAGGGGCAGATTGTGAGTCTGCAATTTAATTTGCCATTTCTCCGTTTCAGAATATAAACAATTTTTAGTGATTTCATTGTCCACTTGTTCACTTATATGGACACGTTCCGTTTATTTTGGTGTAATATCCATTGTTTAAAAAGTGTAAACAAATTAAAAAGTTATGATGTTCGAATTTGACAAAAAAATATTAAAAAAGCAGAAGAAATAAAAAAAGGCTCATTGATTAAGCCTTCGTCTCTTTTTCTTAACTTAAATTGTAATTGGTTTGGTATGTTCTTTTGTTCGGCATTAAGCGTTCCATGATGATGGTAATCCAGAAAAGCGTTTCGGCCGCATTTTATTGGTATAGAATTGTTTTCATTTTTTTCAATCGTATTCAATCTTAAGGTATTTGTTTTTGAAATAGCAACAGCAATGCATGGAAACAATTTATATGTTTTATGCAAATTATTCTACCAAAATATAACTTTCAATAAAAACAAATTTCAGAAAAGCTTAAAGAAGGAGATTCAAATATTGTTATGAAAATCATAATATTGGTTGGTACATGTATGTTGAATTAAAATTTATAAAAATACTCACAGAATATCAATCAATAGAAGAAGTCAATTTCTAAACAATACAATAATCTCAATATACATTGTAAATGCCTTATTTTCATATATGTTCAGGAACAAAGTTAGATCATTGTACTGATGATGTAGCACTATACAGTAATGGGACTATGGAAAGATGTCCATTAAGAAACCAGATAAATACATTTGTATTGGCTGTTTACATGGTGGTTACACATATAATTCTTGTAAATATTCTCATTGCGATGTTTTCGTAAGTATAATTAATGATTTAGACGGTTTGTTTAATAGTTATCTAATACTTTGTTGTTTATTTTTCATTTTCATCCTACCCTTTAAAAGAGAGAAGAAAAATACATGAAGAATATTGCATCTCAGAAGTCGGAAATAAATGTCAACGCCATGGTAAACAACGAAAAAGAACAAAAACCAAACAACAGTATACAAAACAAAATAAAGAAAGCTAAAGACTGAGCCACATGACCCCCACCAAAAACCGGAGGTGATATCAGGTGCTCAGGTAGGGAAAACAGATCCTGCTCCATTTGTGACATCTTTCGTGTTGCTCATGTAAGTGCAAACCTGGTGAGTAGGCTATTTCGTTCGGTCACATTGGAGGAAAAGAAGACGGGATTGTGTTAAGAATATTTGAACATATCCGTCGTCATCTGTGAAACAGATATTCCATAACGGTCAACCAACTCATGATGGCGTCCGTAACATTTTCAAGGGACGATTTCAACTTTACCACTTGAGACTCTTTGTTTAATAGCTTCCTTGTGAGCAGCAACCCTCTATCAAGGAAATCAAAATGCGAAATACAAGCTCTTGAATATCACATCAACTGGGAGATATATACTTAATATGCAAGCGCTGCTGGAATGTTGTTACATAGAAATGGACAGTTCATAATTTAGAAGCCAAAATCATCTCTCTTGTCGTAAGGTTTGTTTTCACCCGATTCTCAATGTCAATTTCTAGATGAAAGTCAATATAAAAGACAAACTACACTGTGTTTGTTGTATCCTTTATTTCAAGTTCGATGGGATAGATGCGTTTAGCATAGTCACCAAACGTTGAATAATTTAGTAAGAGGATATCATCTATAAAGCGGAAAGTGAAGTTTAACACTATAAAATAAAAATGTTCCCCGTCTTTAATACTGTTTGCTGTGGACAATGTAACAATTGGTTTGATTAGAATTTTTGAAATGAAGCCAATCTTAATTAATTAAGCGAATATCTATAACTTGAACAGTTTCGCGAAAATTCTGATAAGCAAATCAATGTGATGCTCATGTAAACTTATAAAGTTTTCATTATGTCTTCTTTAAATCCTAGACATACATTTACAAAAGTTCAAGACAACAACGAACTAGTTTGGAAATTCCACAGATTTTCGCTCATTGAGGAGTATTATGATAGATCGTTTTTTGTTCCGCCATTTACTATCATCAATCACATATTGATGGCCATTTTGTACATCAAAAATGGATGTACCGATAAAAGAAAAAACAAGTTTAGTAAGTAATATATATTAACATAAGATGAATAAGTAAGATGGGGGTTATACGTCAATAAGCAACGGCACAAATAACAAAAAGATATTGATATGTCAACATGGTCCTCAACAAAAGATATAAATTCATTAAGTCTGCCAAGCGTTAAATAGTCTCGAGTGGGTCTGCTATAAATTTGATTAACTGTTGTAGATAAATAAACAGAAAAAATCAATGATCTGCTATCATCACAAAAAGTTTGCTTATAATGTATAACGCTAAAACGTGTTGTTTGTGGTCATTTTGTAGTGAGTAGGGATGCGAAATATTGATATCTAAAACAACTAGTGCAACGATGAAACATATTCATGTTCATATCCCAATTCAGGAACGTCATTACTAGTTATACCCGAGTCAATTACTTCGCCTCTTTTACTTGATGCCGCTGTTTTCTTCTCCTTGATGTTAAGCAGAATGCCTCGCATTTGTATAAGAATAAATACATGTTGATAAAAACTCTTCGCTACTCACGCTTTCTGTGTACTGAAAGCAATCTCCAATCAATGATAGGTTAATGATGCAAATCAAAAAAGCTCATAAAAAAACTATGGATTTCGAACATCAAAGTATGAATATCAAGTGAAAATCATTTAAACAAGATTATTTTGTCATATGTATTCTTTTGCCTGGCGAGGTTATAGACCTGAGTTTTTCCACAGAAGTTTTGCATATGATGCGATAAGCCAACTGCAACAGTAAGAAATTAAATTTATTGTTCAGTAAGCCAAGGTCAAACCAGGCTTCATTTCGTCGGACAGTAAACTTAGTACACTTGGCAATTTTATGCATAACATTATTCTGTGTTAACAATACATAATTATTAGGAAAAACTGGTGAACACACAAATTCAAAAGTATGGATTAAAAAGCTGATAACATTGTTTACAGCTGTTACGTATATGTAGATCGGCAATTAATTTAGGAAACACACTTATTTTGTGTATGAAATCACTGGTTTATAGAAACATATTTTGAAAACACAAAAACTTAAACAGTGTGATTAGGATACTGATGTAATGTTGGTAGATGTTTGCATAATATGTAGATGTGAATATGATGTTTTATAGAAAATTTGCGATTTTTCTTTGCAACAAGTATTGTTTTCAATTACAAATTTGGTAAAACAACTTTCTGTGCCAAGATTGCCACGAATATTGATTAATAAGGATAGCATACTATTCCTGACCGAACAAAAATACACATTACTGAAACATATAGTAAACTCTTCATGGATACCCGGCTGAAAAATGTGTACGCAAGATGCGCTTTTCGTCCTCAAAAGACTAATCAGTGACGCTCAAATAAAAAAAGTTAGAAGGCCAAATAAAATTAAAAGTTCAATAGCATAGAGGACCCTAAATTCCTGAAGGTTATGGCAAATACAGCTTATGTTACCACTACATGGGGTAGAAAATCATTGGTATTTCAAACAATTCAAAGGTTGGTAAACAGTTAATTGATAATTATGATCATATATCTTACCTTTATTATTTGATTCCCGTTGACTAAAATAAATTTTGTCGAATCATCATGATCATCAATTTGTTGAAAAATTTAGTTTTTGTTAGAAAAAAATGTTTTTACATCTTACTGTGCATTTTGTGATAGGATTGCATTAACAACTGATACATATATATAGGAATAAGTTTCTATTTCAATTTGTCCTATGTTGAGAATAGAATTATATTTCAATGTTACTGTTGTGTTGGTATAAAAGCTATTACAAACTGGTTCCCTGTGTTAAAAGTTATCTGTCTGCCTCCATTACTGATGTGGCTGCAAAATACATAAAATAGTCATAGTCCCCTGAATTGTTTTTTTTAACATTTCTATTTCCGTTAACCCTGTCCTGAATTGTTTCCTACTTTTTCAAACGCAAAAACTCCAAAGTATGACTGTGAAGCCTCATTTAATTTGCACATTTGTTGTGCATAATACATTGTAATATGGTGATTGGCATATCATTTTGTTGTAGTCAAATTGGTCATTTTTCATTTTTGTTTGTTAAAAAATGCAAATTGTAAGAAATATCTGTTTGTGGTAGAATTTCAATTGAAATTGCTTTATAGAAAAACTATAATAATCAAATTAATTCCCTGTTTAAAATTATCTGTCAGCCTCGATTTTAAAGTTGCTGCACGAACAAAAACATTTAATGATTCACAGTTCTCGGATTTTAAGACCTTGTATTGCTTTGTTATGCCTCAAATAAGAAGGTGCATTCTTCGGATATGCATGCCCAATCCTTTAGCCATATCCACCCGAAGCTTGTCAGATTTCTTGTTAATTTTGTTTAAAAAAATTGAATGATGGGACATTTTATCAAATTCAAACAATGTTAGTGTTTTACCTTCCAGTCATTTTGAAGTCTGAAGGATCCTTCGCACTGGCCTTTTCAAATGTATTAGGAGCTTCTGTGACATTTACGGAAATGTGCATGTTTAGAAAGAATTTTGGGTCAAAAATACAGATATAATGTAAATCAATCTAAAAAAAACTGGACATCGATTGTAGATTTCTTTTATGGTCATTTTATTAATTGATAGCTAAATTTGTTAATGTTTTGTTGTTTTTCCTACTAGTCGAACTTCAAGGGCAAAGGTTGTATGCAATAGGAAGGTTCTGCAAACGATTCCAACGATATGAAGGTCTGGAATTTTGACTGGCACTGGAAAATGGTTGTATGTTTGAAATTTTTGCCATGTAGCAGGCCATTTACTAGCCAATCAAAGAGTTGTTTCAAGGGTTCTTTTACATGCAGAAATCATAAAACACTCTTTGCATGAGCTTTGGAATTTATCTTCCCGGTCCGACTATACGCGGTTGCGTATTTATAAATCCTGCACAGCAAAAAGTTACGTCTGTGTGCATCAAGTGGTTTACCTCTGATAAGAAAACCATAGTTCTTTATAAGAGTTAACATTTGAGATGCCTTTCATTATGATGTATTATACAAGCAAAAAAGATTGATTTCTTACTAGCATCTTTGATCTTTAGATACGATTTTAGTCGTCCGCTCAGTAATTTTACCAACCGTGTCCTAATAGCGATTGTGAAATTTTGACTTTGCGTAGATTTCCATGTAGAATGGGGCATGCATAGCAGGAGAAACTAACTCTTTTTTGAGTTTCTGCAAATCCCTCAGTGTTTTATCTCCTTATTTTTATATAGGGTGCGACAAACAAACCTGCAGAAATGTTTTTATACAAAATGACAATTTCTAAGTCTATAAATGTCGTCAATAGACAGAATTAGTTAAGATAATCAAAATTTACCAGCAAGCTAAGAAATGTTAAAAAACAACCGATAATAAGGTTAATAAAATCGGACATGTGCATGAATAGGCGGCATGGTAAAACGTTTCTACTTATTTACATTACCGGATTCCACTTAAAGTATATTCAACTTGCATGTTTTACATTATTGTTGAGAAACATTGAAGGAATAAACATATCCTTCTTTCAAGTCATGTGTAAGAAACAAAAATTAACACTTCGAAAATATTGCATTACAGAAACTGATGCCGAAAATGAAATATTAGCTATTCTAGAAAGAGATGCAGTATACAGTCATTTCAATTCATCAACTCGGTTACGAAGACATCGTGCCAAAAATATGGATGCTGAAAAGGACGGGTATTTTCTGTTTTCATATTACGTTTTTTTTTTATTACTTTTATATTCCTTTTTTTAATTTCTTCGTAGACATCATTTTAATGTCATGTTTACCATTATTTTAGTAAAATTGTAGATAATAAGTAATACATATTTTTGGCAAACTAATAAACGACTAAGGAAGAATTAAATATAGAATGCAGAATTCTTTTCTTTCGTGCGACTGATTATGAATAGTTAATGAATAAATGAAGCCTTTGTTTTTAAAATTAGTTGTGAACGTTTGTAGAATTTTTTTCATTAAATATTTTTAAATTCATATTGTCATATTTACAGGTTTGACGCCAGTTATGAAAAAGATACAGATCTAAGCTTGCAAGAACAAATTAACGTTTTGTCGGCAGACGTAGATATAATTCAGAAAAATCAGGAGGAAACTCTGAAGGCTGTAAAACAGTTAATTGCAACAAAACAGAATATATTGATAGTAGAAGTTCCTAGAGGTATACGCAGTGAAAATATGAACCAATCAAAGTAGATATACGGCCCAGTGAAACTCTAATAAACATGATATTTGATAAAACGATTAGATACAAATCAGAAACTATAGCAGAAGTTGCACCATGAGACTCTCCTGTGCATTAACGTTGGTATAGGTATTGTTCATATATGATTGTCACTATCAGTATTGTTTTATTTGAGAGTCACTATCGGCGGATCGGCTTCCAATCTTATCGTTTGTAGTGGTTTTCATAAAGTCTAGGGTTATAGGCAGAAAAGGACTTCGATTTATTTTTATTCAATAACTTATTATAGATAATATTTCGTTTGAATATATAATATTTATGTAATTAAGGTGGTACCAAATACCTTGACTAAAATAAATTTGACTCGTTTAATTTAAAAATATTTACTCTTACCCTTTGACAAAAATATAAAAGTTTCATAAAACTTGAACCACACGCTTTATTGGAAAAATTTCATGGGATATATAGCAGTTTGACAAACACTAATTTTGATCATTGAGAAGCTTAATATTTCCTTAACAATAGAACGTGATTAAAATGTTCAGCTGATTTTTACAGAGTTATCTCCCTGTAGTGTTATGTACCACCTTAAGTGGAATTTTAAGATATCTATATATCAATGCATTGGTATACATTATGGAGGTGTAAATTTAAAAGCAATTTTCAATCTTCTAACGGTTAATTGCAGCTTTAATGATAGTGAAGATGTAAATGTATTTCGAAATATTTATTGGTTTATTATATTATGTTTTTCATTAACAGTTAGTTTAAACGTGCTGACTTTAGAAACTTTATTTCAATTCATTTTTGTATGTACTTTTTTGTATTTCTTAACGATCCGACGCCCTTTTAGGAATGACTGTTGACAACAACATGTGTCAATAATATAATTTTGTAAAGTGTTGATTGTTAAAAAAAAGTATGCTTTATGAATTCAAACAGACTTTTTACATGTTAAAGGTACTACGTATACGTTCGTATATACCAACATGTTTACCTTGATCGTTTAACAGGTCAACTGAAACCAGCAATTCCTTTTATTTAACCAAAATCTCGAGAAAGTAAATTATAATAAACAGGAAATACGCATGTTCCTTATCAGACAACAGAAGATTTCATCTCAGAAAGGTATTAATGAAAATTTTATTGGACAATTTTCCCCACTTGTTGTTTTCTGACTTACTCTTTTCTGTTTGTTGTTATTCAAAATGTGTATGACCTGTTATGACTTTCACAATTTCAGAAAATTATAAACCATTTAGTTAAATTAATTTCAAATCGATCATTATTTCCAAGAATGTGTTCGTCTAGGTAACCAAAACCATTTAATTGAGCATATGTATTGTTAAAAAGGGCTTTCAGTACGGAGATATTTGCATTTTATCATATATGTACCTTTACTTTGTAATTGTGTATTTTTACCTTAACCATGTATTATTTTACTTGTCTCGGTAGTATTGTTATCTAAATAAATATACTTTAACATCAGCTGCTCATTACTCAAGGTTAAGTACATAGATTATATTAGATGATATAACATAGATAATGATTATCATCCTTTCAAACACTAGTGCTTCTAAATAGGCATTATTTGTTTATTATTTGATACGTTTATATTTCTTATAATACCAAATTGTGCTAAAACTTAAAAATTGAAACTTTCTCCGGTAAAGTTTATCCTAGACTTTGGTTGTTCTGTCTCAATGTCCTGTGTGAAAGGGTATTGTTGTTTCAGGAAATATTCTACTAGAAGGATTTGCATTCAGAATGTGTAAAAATGGTCAAAGCTTCATTGCTCCCTTTAAATTTCCAAATCAAATGACTTTGGGATATGATTAAATTAAGTCTTTAGTTTTCTATGATGTCTTTTGTGTATAATTGTTTGTCGTTTGGTCTTTTTCATTTTTTTTTTGTCATGCCGTTGACAGTTTATTTTCGACTTGAGTTTGAATGTTCCTTTTATATCTTTCTCCTGTCCTTCACAGCAAGACTAGCACATTTCCCGTCAAACTTGTCAATATAGCATCATCATGAGAATATGACGAAACATAATTCTGCCAAATATGAAAGCGCTCTATCGTGAGGTTTCTGAAAATAATTGCGAGGACGGAAAGATTCAACCCACAGGGCTAGGCGGAAAAATGGTCATTTTTAAACAGTGTTCCTATAGATTGTAGACAGTTGTGATCTGGTTTGCTTTACAAAAAGACAGAATTCCTAAATAAAATGTAAGTTAAAGGTAAGATATTGTTCAGCATATCCACTTAATATAATTTCATATTATATAGTTGTTCAACCAGTATTTTTTATCGATTTTAAATTTTTGACCATGTTTTTGTCATCAAATTCATACTACTCTACGATATTAAAAAAAACAAAAAAGTTTCTTTTTTTCTACATTACTTTTGCAGTCCCATTTTGTCAAGTTATCAAAACATTTCTAAGTTGTTTGGATTTACTGTCAATTTTAACAAATGTATCATTATTCAAAAGAAGTTAGGATTCTATTATTTTGCAAACAAACAAAATATAAAACAGGCAAGTTTTAGATATTTTCCTAGACTATTGGAGGAAATTGTCCGACGACTCCTTATTGGAGTTATTAGTCATTAATTACGATTTTCACCATTTTTTTTGCATTTTGCCTTATATGATAAAAATTATAATAGACACTTTAAATCACAAAAATGATCAGCAAGTTAAGATCTATTAACAATTCAAATTGTGCTGATAACGTTAGTAGACGATCACCCTTTTTAGGAGTGATTGCCCTTAAATGAGTATTTTTTTTTGCCCTCTTTTGTGTTTTGAGAAAAAACTAAAGAAGATAGAGAGAAACTCAATAGATTAAATGATTAGCATTACAAGATCAATAAATTCGCGATTTTTGTCATGAATTCTATTCTCGTCTATAATGTCGGAGAGTGTTCTTTGTTGAATATGCACATAGACCAAGGTGAGCGACACAAGCTCTTTAGAGCCTCTAGTTTATATTAATGTCGTATACTATAGCATGACAATACTAATGCTCATGAATATTGTCCAGAGCAGTACTTCATATTGCACGAGCTATGTCCAATGTATTTTCTTAAAATTGATCAAAAATCTTGCATTTGTAAAAAATGCATTTAGTCGGTGAAAAGTAAAATAACAAAAATAACTCCAAGGAAAATTCAAAATGAAAAAATCCTAAACAAATAGTAAAATCAAATGCTTAAACACATTAAACGATTGGAAAACAAATGTCATATTCCTGACTTGATACAGTGTGAAACATTCTTGGAATTGAATTAATGCTTAAACTAGAGGCTCTTAAGAGCCTGTGTCGCTCACATAGGTCTATGTGTCTATGTATATTCAACAAAGGAAACTCTCCAACATTGTAAACGAGAATAGAATTCATGACAAAAATGACTTTTTTGGTGATCGTGTATCTTCTTTAGTTTTTACTTAAAACATAAAAAGAGGGTAAACAAATCCTCATTAAGGACAATTACTCCTATAAATAGTGACAGTGTATTAACTATATTGGCAAAATTTGACTTGTTTGTTGATCCTGCCTGTTGATCATTTTCGTTGTTCAAAGTTTCTTTTTATCTATTTTATTTTTTTATCATATGGGGCAAAACACAAAAAAATGGTAAAAATCGTCATTAAAGGGCAATAACTCTAATAAGGAGTCGTCGGACGACTTCCTGAATATCTCTTAATTGTAGATCTTGTCTTGCCGATAAGTTTTGCTCATTTAAGTTTCTATCTATCCACTACAATCTTTAAGATATACGGCAAAAACGCAACAAATTGGTAAAAATCGTCATCAAAGGGCAATAACTCTAATAAGGAGTCGATTGACGATTTTCACCATCAAACTTATTTGAATATCTTGTCTTGTTGATCATTTAGGCAATCAAAGTTTCTCTGTATCTATTATAGCTTTTAAGATAATAGGCAAAAAACAAAATGGTAAAATTTGTCCTTTAAGGGCAATAGCTCCTATAAGAAATCCCCTGACTGTTTTGAGGTATATAGACAATTGGTAGAGCTCAACATTCTGAACATTTCTGCCCCTGTCAGATTTTCTCTATTTATAACGGTTTTCAAAATAATAGACAAAATTTGCATTTTACCCCATATGTTCTATTTTTGGCCATGTCAGCCATCTTGGTTGGTAGGTGGGGTCATCGTGCACATTTTTAAAACTAGATACCCGAAAGATGATTGTGGCCAAGTTTGATTAAATTTGAACGTGTAGTTTCAGATTTTTGTAATAGTTAACGGACGAAGTACGACGAACGCCTAGTAATCAGAAAAACTCACTTGGCCCTTGCGGCCAGGCGAGCTAAAAAAAAAACCAGTTCATACATGTATAGCTGCTGTTTCTAAAAAAAAGTAAAATTTCCTAGATGATAAAACTTTTAAGGGTTCACGGACTTCATTTTTTGTGTATTTATCATTTTATAAATTATATTCGTAGTATGAAAAATCGAAAAATTACGCTTTACTGCTAATAAAAGCTATAATAACACGTTAGCTAATTTCGTTATGTTATGGGTATTTGTTCATCACACGACCACTTTAAATGTATCATACCATCATAGATGTAATGACAATATTTTACACCATTTAAAGCAGAGTTTATCTGACATCATCAGAACAACTTTAAAGAAAACATATGAAATGTATATTTTTTTACAATGATTTTTCAACGGATTTACGAGATTTAAACATCGGAAAACTACTGGGGCCTCTTATTAATTACCGATTACGTAGTTCTACCCACACAGCTTTGCGCCAATTTTAAAAACCATCATTCTATTAGATTTAAGAAAATAAAACATTAAAAGAATATTTATTTCGGTCAATTTACGGTTAAAAAAGTAAAATTCCAAAGTAGTTTCCAAAACATTATGGAAATCTGTGGCATTTGACCATACTAAAATTTTTCTGGATAGTATGTCTATTTATTATGTAAGGAGTGATTACATTATAGACCCCTAAATGTTATCTTGGGTATATGCCCATCAATAAATTTATGTAGCCCGGCAGTTAAACTCTTGCTAAAGTGGAATGTTCTTTCGTCTGATGGTATTGTTGAAGTTTAATCCGATGTTCTGTATATCTTAAGTGCCACGCTCTCTCCACGTCAAAGAACCCTTGCAACAATTCTCTAAGCTTTAGTTGGCATACTTCAAGACAAAATGTTAACACCTTCTCAACATATGCTCATTTCCAGTGGCAGTCAGAATTTTCAGCTCATAATCCGGTCAACCTACCTATTCGATTAATATTTATTTACATTCTCGTCTTGATTATGCATGTAATATTTGCCACTGGACGTAAAACAAATAACTTTCAATCTTGATTTCATTGATTATCTTTCGTATTTATGATCTCTTTTTACATGAAAAAAAATAATAATGTTTGTGCACGGTACCTAGTCTGGTACTATCTGTTTGAAGAAGGCAGATTATATAAGGGTGTAAGATGCTACGCTTTGTTTGTCAACAGATTAATGTTTTTGAGGCAATTATTAGTTAATACAAATGTTCTTTGATACAGACAGTGTAATATTATAACCTTAATCATTTTTTTTTGTATTCGTCAAAAACTTTCATATTATAAGTGTCTTGATGGAGTGACATAAAGTCTGTTTTCTGAAAATGTTAAGACCAATTTTTTTCTATTCTGTATTTTGGATGCCCATTATTTTCCATTCTTTACATTTCAGTATCAAATTTTTCTGTATTCTTTATTTTTTGGTCCAGATTCTCTATTTTTTAAACTCCATCTAGACCCTCATATAATGGTTTGAGTGTTTTGTGAACTGATTTGTATCGTGCGTTTTTCGCTTTGTGTTGAACTGATAGAGACAAAAGGGGGTTAGGTATAGGAATAAACAGTTTAATATCAACACATATTTATGTGGTTGTTGAATTTCAGGAACATTAGAGCATTAAGTTAAGGCGACATAATTTTAGTAGTCGCTTTGAAAAGTCGATGTGAAGTAGACCTCATTACATCATATACACTATTCTCTATTGTAAAGACTTGATTATCTTTTTTGTTTTAATTGTGTTAATATGTTATTGACAATAGTTGCTGAATCTTTCATTCATATAGTAATTGACAAACACTTACAATTTTATCCATCAGATCTGTGTTATACTGAAGTGGAATCAAAAACAGTGGGTAAAAAAAAATCAAGACTTCACCATGGCCAAAAGAAAACAAAAATGCCTTAACAAACACAACCCCGTAAAGAGTAAGGGTGAACTCAAGTTATTTAGTTGTGAAGAATCAAAGATTTCTATATCTTTTAAAAATAAACAAAGCCGTTTTATCACAATAGATGAATTGAAGACTGATATATCAAGTTTATTTCAATCAGAGTTTGTGGAAAAGTAATCATAAATGAAAGTAGATTCAACAATACAATCTATCGAATCGAGTAATTGTAAAACCTAACCAGAATTGTTTATACTCCAAAA